ATCCAAGAAGCTTCTATATGCGTCTATCTAGAATTTTTTGCATTTGTAATTTATGTCCCAATAACAATGTCCTTGTGGATATCTATATGTATACACGGGGATTTTCATTAGACTAAAAATGTGTTACTGGAACATCAAGGAGATAAGCTTGACATCTTTGCATCATAAATTGTGTTGGAAAGATTGTTGGAGGAGGAATATCCTTTTCTTTACTGTGATCAAACTCAATTGTGATAGTACCATCTTGATTTATCTTGTAGGTTGGATCAAAGTGTTCAATTGGTTCATCTTACTTCCAAATCATTTGATAACTTATCGTCCATGTCTTTGGGAGAATGATGGTAAGTTCTTCATTTGAGATCTGTTTTGAAATGTGAACATGTCTAGGAGTCCTATCTACTGCTTCCATTTTGACAAAAACAACATCACTAGAGTGTGAAAGAGGCAAGTTAATGGCATGATCTTGAACTCTATATGCCATCTAATAGTGAAGGGTTGCTTGAAGTACTTTCATTTCTGTGCCTACGATCTAGACTTGAACTTTTAAAGCATCTAAGAGTGTTGGATCATGAAGAGACATTATAATTTGAGAAGACTGTTAAGAAGATAGTTTCTGCATTGAGCGTTGTCTCAACTATGCCAAGGACTGCATGCTTGTATTCTTTAAATCTTGTATCCAATAAGGCCATTCTGGTACATACAAGAATTTCATTTCTACCGTAGAAGGTTAAGGCTATTTTGATAGCACCAAAGTGGATATAAGAGTATTCTTATTCTGACCACTGTTGAAGAAATTCTTCTGGGATCTGAAGAGTAACAAAGTATTCTTGAAGTCTTGCTGGAAAAATATATTAATCAAAGTTTGTGACTTGAACATACTCTTTTGGAGCTTTGTATTTTGGTTTTAAAAGAGTTTTTCAAATCTAGTAAGGGAAGAAGAGGAGTTGGAAAAAGCTGTATAAAGATTTACAAGGGGAAAAACTATTTGTTAGGTTTTCTTTTCTTCTGGATATAATCTACTTCATATAAGAACTTAAACTTAGAAAAGAAAAACTTTTTAAGTACAGAAGAAAGATAAGAAGACAAACTAAAAGAAGATCTAGAAGAAAAAAGTTGAATAGTTGATAGATCCATGAAAATAAGACACTTTTGGCTTTTTCTTTTTCCAACTTCAATAATCAAGGCTTAGAAACATATTCTCTTCTCACTATCTTGGCAAGTTTTAAGCTCTGAAACCATTTCTATGCAAAGCAACAGGTAGTACAGTCAAGACTTTGGCAACTGACGGCTTTAGTTTCAAACTTTTCAGATAGTAGTACCAGTGTCAAAAAAGGCTATGACTGTTATGAGAGGAGAATGTTTGTGAAAGAAGATCTGAACTGGAGCTAAAGACACTCAGATGACTTTTTAGATGATCAATGTTATGAGTATATGTCAGTCCAAGAACTCTAAAAAATCCAAACTCTTTAACCTCCAAAATTACCCTTAACTCCAGTTCAGATCTTCCCTCATAAACACTCCCCTCCCATAACAGTCACAGCTTTTTTTAACACTGGTGTAGCCCAAACCATAACAAACCCCCTGTCTGACCTAAAAACCTTTGGATAAAACAGAAAACCTTCTTCAAAATCGCTGATGATAATGTATTCTCTACAGACTTTATCAGCAACCCTATTACCCTTCAAATCTTCTCAGGTTATCAAATAACTCAAAAGATTTTAGGATCTTTACTTTTCCAAAAAGACTTGTTATTGGTTTGGATATCATTACCAGTATACTAGGTTTAAAACTTAGTGTAAAAGGTATCAAGTTTGAAAGTTATTTTAAACCTTGAAAAAATCTTCCCACCACCATGGTTCTTTCTTGAAATGAGGAAGTTCTGGATGAATTAAGATATTGTTTGATTTTACAGAGTCTTTTTAACAGGAGCTTGTACTCATAAGCATAGAGAAAGATAGATTTGTACAAAGAGTATGAATTACACACATACAGGTCAGAGTAGGGTTGAAAGAGGGCATAATTTTCATAGAGTTCATAAGGGTGGTGGAAGAAGAAGATAACATGATAATGTTGGGAAAAATGTTTGGTGACAGAATACATCCAAGAATTACACAATCACCTAGCACATTGGACCCCTGAACCACCCTACGACACTTGGTGTAGTGATTTATCGCAATGACTTATTAATTTTAATCTCCACATTCCTTCAGAGTTAGCAAAACTCTAAACAAATCCTTACCGGTAGAATGAAGAAGATCTCTCCAGACTTCGAGCAAGATTTGAACACATAGTCTACAATCACCTATTCCAAAATTGTGATTCTATCCTGATGATTTTGAACAAGAACTATATGGATGGGTAGATGATTACCTCTTTCTCCGATACCTTGAAGATTTCTCAGAATAAAGACACTCATGATGCTCCAAGACAAAAGATTCTTTGTTTCAGTCCAATTATGTATAATTACATGTGATAATTTCAGTTTCTCCAGAAGACTCTAAAAAATTGATTATGATGCCTCCACATCAAGATAACTTTAAGTCAAGTCTTCATCAACTTTATGTCTAAATCAAGTCATGTCTACTTTATGAGTCACATTTACTTTATATCAAATAAGTGATGAGTCATAGTAATGAGTCACCTTACTTTAGCTTTATGTCAAGTCACTTGTAAAATTGTAATTATGTTTTGTCCTAGCCTTATCCTATTAGGTTACTATTCTTTTACTTTTCCCTTGTATAAATAAGATGTTACTTCTCTAAGAAAGCATCAAGAAGAAATCCTTGTAACAAATCTTTCTTTATAAAATATGTTTGGCTAAAAACCTTTCTTCTCTTTTGGTAATTTCATCTTCCTTCTTTCATAGTTAAAGCTTTAGCTTTATGTTTTTCTTCAAGCTATTCCATAGTTTGCAGTGATACAAGTTGAGTATGCTATGCAGTTGCCATAATATTATGGATCCTCTACATCAAAAATTTTTGTTAAACTGTTAAACAGATCATTAATCCCTTTCCCTTAGTCAAAAAAAAGTTATACTGACCTAAGATCATACTAATAGTAAGTTACTATAGTAAAAGACATATCTTCATAAAAGTCAGACTTTCAATTCGACGTTAAGCTAGGAAGACGCCAGAGTCTTAAACACCGACTAGAATACCTTGGTTATATGTCTGATATATGAAATGCTTATGGTTGATATTATCTTGGCAAGTTGATCGATCTATATACTGTTAAAATAGTATCAGATAATATTATTAAGATTCTACTACCCAAAAAGCTCGAAACTGAAGCCGTCAATTGCCAGAGTCTTAGTCGTACTACTTGTCGCTGTGCATAGAAATGGTATCAGAGCTTGAAGCTTGCCAAGATAGTGAGAAGAGAATATGTTTCTAAGCCTTGATTATTGAAGTTGGAAAAAAGAAAAGCCAAAAGAGGGTCTTATTTTCATGGATCTATCAACTATTAGTAACTCTAGTTCTCAACTTTCTTCTTCTAGATCTTATTTTAGTTTGTCTTCTCTTCCTTTTCTTGTACTTAAAAAGTCTTCCTCTTCTCAGTTTAAGTTTTTATATGAAGTAGATTATATCCCAAAAGAAAAGAAAACCTAACAAACAGTTCTTCTCATTGTAAATCCTTATACAGCTTTCTCCAACTCCTCATCTTCTCTTACTAGATCTTTAAAAACTCTTTTAGAACCAAAATACCAAGCTCCAAAAGAGTATGTTCAAGCCATAAACTTTGATCAATGTATTCTTCCAATATGACCTCAGGAGCACTTTGTTACTCTTCAAATCTCAGAAAAATTTTCTCAACAGTGGTCAGAATAAGGATACATTCATATCCACTTTGGTACTATCAAAATAACCTTAACCTTTCATGACAGAAATGGAATTCTTGTATGTACTAGAATGGCCTTATTGGACACAAGATTTAAAGAATAAAAGCATGTAATCCTTGGCATAGTTGAGACAACGCTCAATGCAGGAACTATCTTCCTAAATTATAATGTCTCTTCATGATCTAACATTGATAGATGCTTTAAAAGTTCAAGTTCAGATCGTAGGCACAGAAATGAAAGGACTTCAAGCAACCTTTCACTACCAAATGGCATATAGAGTTCAAAATCCTGCCATTAACTTACCTTTTTCACACTCTAGTGATGCTATTTTTGTCAAAATGAAAACAGCAGACAGGACTCCTAGACATTTTCACATTCCAAAGCACATCTCAAATGAAGAACTTGCCACCCTTCTCCTAAAGACATGGACGATAAGTTGTCAAAAGATTTGGAAGCAAGATGAACCAATTGAACATTTTGATCTAACTTACAAGACAAATCAGGATGGTACTATCACAATTAAGTTTGATCATAACAAAGGAAAAGATGTTCCTCCTCTAACAATCTTTCCAAGATAATTTAAGATGCAAAGATGTCAAGCTAATCTCCTTGATGTTCTAGTCACACACTTTCAGTCCAATGGAAATCCCGTGTATACATATAGATCTCTACAAGGACATTGTTATTGGGACATAAATTATAAATGCAAAAAATGCCAGATAGACGCATATAGCAGCTTCCTGGATGATGATGTTTCAAAGAAGCAAAAAAAGAAAAAGCCTTCCCAGCAAAAACTTAAAGAAAAATATGAGAATGGAAACCCTGAAGTTGATCACCTTAGTGAACCCTCAAGAAAGTTTGACTACTATGTCATCTATCCTAAGAAAGAAAAACGACTCCCTCAACCCTACCCAAATCAAACCATACAAAAATAAGATTCCACCCAACCTTTACCATAAATTTCCATGATGCAACCAACCTACCCAAGCTTAAATTTCTCTCTTTTTCAAGAGTTTCACAAAGACCAGTGCAAACACATTCCAAAATCCCAACTCCTACTGACAGAGATGAATATGGGGACCAAAAAAGTGTTTCTCATGCAGAAGCAGTTTTAAACTGACAAACTGAAAATTCTCTCCAGCAGAATACATACCTGCACAAAATTGAACACAAGTTGGACAAATTTAGTCACCATTTTGATCAGAGCCTTGTTAATCTTTAAAATATTATTCTTAAAATTCATACAAAGATCATAACACTTGATCAAGAACTCAGATGTATGGTTGAAACCAACACTGGATTCACTTATGCTTTCACTGAAAGAGAAAGAAATGAAGAGCCTAAAGATTCAACTGATAGACCTTCAAAACCAGTTTCATCAGAAACAACAACAATAACAGGCAGCCTCTAGTTACAACATCTTCACACCACTTCACACTGGCATGCATGAGACTCATTACCAAGCTTATACTCATCCTCTATTTCAATCATACAATCCTCTAACCTCACCTCCAAAACCTTTTTTCACACCTTTTCAGTACAAACCTCCCCCAACATCCATCCCAACATCCTCACAACCAACATAATACTTCACTCATATCTCAGACCAACCAGAACAACCCCTTTTGGTATAACTAAAAAATAGATTCATAGATTTCGAAAAAAAATAACTAGTTGATCCAAAACCAAAAAGAGTTGCAGAACAACCACTTTTTCAACCTTTAAAACCAAAATCAAGCTCAAGTTCCACACCTCAAAACCTTACACCACAACCAAACCAAAAATCTATACAACTCATGATTTCTCCTACACAAACCCTTCCAGAAATACTTCATCAAATGGCACAAAACAATCTCCCTTAATTCTCCCTTGAAGATATTTTACCTTCTACCTTTGAGACTGAATCCCACATAGACACTGTCAAATCAGATGACTCAGTTGAAGCAGATGATATTGATGACTCATATGAGATAATGCTCCTTCAGATCTTAATGACAGAACCAACAGTTGAACTTCAGATGATACTCCAGAAGTTCACAACCCTGATACAATGGACACTGAACAACAACCTTCTCCACAACAATCACATGTTCCTCCTTCGACATCAAAGTTTTCATTTTTTACCATTGATGATATTCCTCCTTCAAAATGGCCCTCAAGGTTTCAAGAGTTCTTAGCATGAGGACTAGTTAAATTAAACTCTCATCTCAATGTTACGATGAACACAATATTGGTCAGATTTGTTTTCAGACTAGTTGAAACTCTGAAAAACTTTTGGGACAATATTGGTGAATATAGACAACTCCAGTTTCTTCAATGCCCGAAAATCACATAAGTTGTCTATCAATTTACAACAATTTTTATGGAAAAAAAACTCAGAGATTGGAAAAGATTAGAGAACAATTCTTCAAACTAAAATGTTATTTTCTCCATCCAAAAGACCTTGACAGACACTATCAACAATTCACCCAGTATTTTTACAAACTTGATGAATTTGATGATGTCAACTTAAAGCAAGCCTTTCTCAATTTTATTCCAGAAAAACTTGCACAGCAAACAAAGACCCAGTTAAACCTTAGATCTTTTAATGTTAGATCTATGACCCTTGAAGATATCTATAAGATGATATTGAAAGCACTTGACAAGATTTGCAAAGAATATAGATACATCAAAACTTTGGTGAACAACTCAAAAAAGTTAGAAAAGCCATGATCTTACTCCTCTTCAGGCCTTCAAATCAAATGTTCTTCCTAAGATCCCACATGTTTTTGTTGTAACAAGAAAAAGAAGATTTTCAGAAGATTCAGACCTTCCAAACCTTCAATATTCTCCAGACCCAGAAATAAGAAGCACTTCAAATATGATGATAAGCCCAGAAGATTTCAAATATTCAAGTTTACAAGAAGGAAGAAGTACCCAAAGATCAAATGTTCAAAATATTTTTTTGTCAAAAATCAAGACATTTTCAAAAAATTACCCAAAGTTAAACAAAAATCAGTCAAAATGATCCAAGACATTGCTAATATCTCTGGTATCAATCTCTCAGATGATGATCTTGAATCAATTTTCTCTCTTGACAATGAGTAGAATGAAAGATCCATGTTTATGATTAAGCAGTTTGATGATGAGTTTGAAAATTCAAATTACTCAGAATACTTAGATGACTTCACAGATGATCAATGTTATGAGTATATGTCAGTCCAAAAACTTTAAAAGATCCAAACTCTCCAACCTCCAAAATTACCTTTATCTCCAGTTGAGATCTTCCCTCATAAACATTCTTCTCTCATAACAATCACAACCTTTTTTGACACTGGTGCAGCCCAAACCATAGCAAACCCCCTTATCTTACTCAAAAACCTTTGGACAAAATAGAAAACCTTCTTCAAAATCACTGATGGAAATGTATTCTCTACAGACTTTATCAGTAACCTTGATGGAAATGTATTCTCTACAAACTTTATCAGTAACCTTGTTACCCTTCAAATCTTCCTAGGTTGTCAAATAACTCAAAAGATTTTAGGATCTCTACTTCCCCAGAAAAACCTTATTATTGGTTTTGATATCATTACCAGTATACCAAGTTTAAAACTTAGTGAAAAAGGTATCAAGTTTGAAAGTTATTTTAAACCTTAGAAAAACCTTCCCAATCTCTTCACCTTAACTATTCAACCAGATGTTTTCTAAGAATTTAGATAAAAGTTCATTCATTTTTCTTGTGCAGAAAATCATTCAAACTTTCTCTAAAAATGTGACCACCCACTTTGAAAAAACCCTGAATTTTTCATTTCCTTTCCTTTCAAAAAAGATGAAAATGTCAATCCCACAAAAGCTAATCATTCAGGCATGAACCCAAATCATTTCAAGCTGACAATCCAAGAATGTTCACTTCTCCAAGCTCAAGGATTAATTGAACCAACTTCCTCTCCATTGACATGTGAAGTATTTTATGTCAATAAGCGTTCAAAATAAGTTCATGAAAAATTAAGATTGGTGATTAATTACAAGCCTTTAAATATTTTCTTTGCAGATGATAAGTTTCCTCTTCCAGACAAAAAAACTTTGTTTGTAAATTTGGCAAATACGAAAGTCTTCTCAAAGTTTGACCTCAAAATAAGATTTTAACAATTAGGTATACATCCACATGATAGATATAAAACGACGTTTTGCATTCCTCAACACCATTTTCAGTGGACAATTAATGCTTTTTGAATTAAAAATTACTCTTTCACTGTTCCAAAAAGTAATGACGCAGATATTTGCTATAATTCTTGATAATACATTGATCTACAGTGATGATATCTTATTATTCTTTTCAGATGTCACATATCATACACAGTTATTGGATAAGTTTCAGCAAATTGTTTAACAGTATAGGATAATGCTCTCAAAGAAAAAGATGATCATTGGTGCTTCAAAAATTGATTTCTTAGCATGCATCTAAAAGATGAACAGTACATAGCTCAACTCCACATTACTCAAACACTTACAGATTTTTTTTATGAAAATCTTTCAAAGAAGCAAATCCAGTAATTTTTCTGTATAATAAATTACATAAGTGAATTTTTTCCAAATTTTGCACAGTTAACTCATCCTCTCAGACAAATGCTCAAAAAAGAACTATCCACATGGTCCCAAAAATAGACAAATATATTACAGACCTTGAAGATAAAAGCAAAGTCACTTTCAACTTTAAAGATTTCCTACGATGAAAAAAGGTTACTACAGATATATGCAAGTGAACAATTTTGGTCAACAATACTTTTAGAAGAAAAAGATGGAAATAGATAAATCTGTTGTTATAAGAGTAAAAAATTTAAAGATTCAAAACTCCATTATCACTCTACAATAAAAGAGATTTTAGCTATAAGGTATAGATTCCAAAGATTTGAATTTTACCTCATTGGATATCACTTTCTTGTGAAATTAGATAAGTCAACTTTTGATCAGATGCTCAATTTCAAAAAGAAAAAAATACCAAATGCACAGTTACTCAGGCTATCACAGTGGTTCTCACAGTACTCTTTCACCACCGCACATATAAAAGGCAAAGATAACCTCATCCAGACATGCTGACAAGACCTCCTTCAAACACCTTGTAGATCATTCTAGTCATTTGCATGATGACCTCCTTACCTTTACCTTTACCCTCACCCTCATTTGATCATGTTCCTCAAACGGTAACCAATCTTTTTCTCTACCCTTACCTTTACAACCCGAAATATAAACTTTTTATTCCAGATCTGGATTTCCAATTAGTTTTTTCAGTTCACAACCTTCCTCCTGAAATTTAACAGATCATTACCAAAAAGACACTTGAAAGATGTGCTCATGATCTCATCTACAAAATACAGGCTATACTCATCAGAAAATGAAGTGATCATGGCCTCAGACCTATTGGCTTTCATCCTCAATTCCCTTTTCTACACTTGTTCTAGATTTTTCATACCGTCGGTATATTCAAAGAAGCTTTAGTTCTTGTATGATATTTATGCCAACTCCACATCATTACCATTGAGTTTAACTCCTTTGAACTCAATTTTGTCACAGTCACTTTTTCTCATAATGACTTTCTTTATGAAGCTGATATTCATTTAAGAAATTTCTTGAAGTGGTTTAAACCCTTTCATACTTGGTATTCTGCCACCAAACATTTTTCGTAACACTATCATGTTATCTTCTTCTTCCACTACCCTTGTGAACTCTATGAAAATTATGCACTCTTTCAAACCCACTCTGACCTGTATCTGTGTAATCCATACTCTTTGTACAAATCTATCTTCCTCTACGCTCATAAGTACAAGCTCCTGTTAAAAAGACTATAAAATCAACAATATCCCAATTCATGCAGAACTTTCTCTTTTCAAGAAAGAACCATGGTGGTGGTACCCTCCAGAATACATCTAAGAATTACATAATCACCTGGCACATTGGACCCCTGAACCACCCTACGACACTTGGTGGAGTGATTTATTGCAACGACTTGTTAATTTTGATCTCCACATTCTTTCAGAGCTAGCAAAACTTTCAACAAACCCTTACTGGCATAATGAAAAAGATCTCTTCAGACTTCAAGCAAGATTTGAACACAGAGTCTACAATCACCTATTCCAACATTGTGATTCTAATCTTGATGATTTTGAACAAAAACTATACAGATGGGTAGATGATTGTCTCGTTCTTCAGTACCTTGAAAATTTCTCATAATAAAGACACTCACGGTGCTACAAGACAGGATTTCTTGTTCCAATCCAATAATGTATAATTACGTGTGATAATTTCAGTTTCTCTAGAAAACTCTTAAAGTTGATTATGATGCCTCCATATCAAGATAACTTTATGTCAAGTCTTTATCAACTTTATTTCTAAGTCAAGTTATGTCTACTTTATAAGTCACATTTACTTTATGTCAAATAAGTGATGAGTAATAGTGATGAGTCACCTTACTTTAGCTTTATGTCAAGTCACTTGTAAAGTTGTAATTATGATTTGTCCTAGCCTTGTCCTATTAGGTTACTATTCTTTTACTTTTCCCTTGTATAAATAGGATGCTACTTCTCCAAGAAAAAATCAAGACTTCACCAAGAAAGCATCAAGAAAGAAATCCTTGTAACAAACTTTTCTTTATAAAATATGCTTAACTAAAAACCTTTCTTCTCTTTTGGTAATTCCATCTTACTTCTTCCATAGTTAAAGCTTTAGCTTCATGTTTTTCTTCAAGCTATTCTATAGTTTGCAATGATACAAGTTGAGTATGCTCTGTAATTGCCATAATATTATGGATCCTCTGCATTAAAAATTCTTGTTAAACTGTTAAACAGATCATTAATCCCTTTTCCTCAACAAAAAAAAAGTTATACTGATCCGAGATCATACTAATAGTAAGTTACTATAGTGAAAGACATATCTCTATAAAAGTCAAGCCTCCAGTTCGACGTTAAGCTAGAAAAACGTCAGAGTGTTAAACACCAGCTAGAATACCTTGCTTATATGTCTGATCTATGAAACGCTTATGGTTGGTATTATCTTGACAAGTTGATCGATCTACACGCTGTTAAAATAGTATCAAATTGTATTGTCAAGATTTTACTACCCGGAGAGTCCGAAACTAAAACTGTCAGTTGCCAGTCTTAGTCGTATTACCTGTCGCTATGCATAGAAATGATATCAAAGCTTGAAGCTTGCCAAAATAGTGAAAAGAAAAAGAAAAAGCTAAAAGAAAGTCTTATTTTCATGGAACTATCAACTATTAGTAACTCTAGTTCTCAACCTTCTTCTTCTAGATCTTCTTTTAGTTTATCTTCTCCTCTTTCTTTTATACTTAAAAAGTCTTTCTCTTCTAAGTTTAAGTGCTTATATGAAGTAGATTATATCTTAGAAGAAAAAAAAACCCAACAAACATTCTTTCCCTTGTAAATCCTTATACAACTTTCTCCAACTCCTTCCTTTTTCTTACTAGATCTTTAAAAACTCTTTTAAAATCAAAATACCAAGCTCCAAAAAAGTATGTTCAAGCCACAAACTTTGATTAATGTATTCTTCTAACAGGACCTCAAAAGCACTTTGTTACTCTTCAGATCCCAGAAGAATTTTCTCAACAGTGATTAGAACAAGGATACACTTATATCCACTTTAGTGCTATCAGAATAGCCTTAACCTTTCACGACAGAAATAAAATTCCTGTATGTACCAAAATGGCCTTGTTGGACACAAGATTTAAAGAATACAAGCATGCAGTCTTTGGCATAGTTGAGACAACGCTTAATGCAAGAACTGTCTTCTTCATAGTCTTTTCAATTATAATGTCTCTTCATGATCTAACACTATTAGATGCTTTAAAAGTTCAAGTCCAGATCGTAGGCACAGAAATGAAAGGACTCCAGGTAACCCTTCACTACCAGATGGCATATAGAGTTCAAGATCATGCCATTAACTTGCCTCTTTCACACTATAGTGATGCTATTTATGTCAAAATGGAAGCAGCAGATAAGACTCCGAGACATGTTCACATTCCAAAGCAAAAATCAAATGAAGAACTTGCCACCCTTCTCCCAAAAATATGGATGACAAGTTATCAAAAGATTTGGAAGCAAGATGACCCAACTGAACACTTTGATCCAACCTATAAGACAAATCAGGATGGTATTGTCACAATTGAGTTTGATCACAACAAAAGAAAGGATGTTCCTTCTCCAACAATCTTTTCAACACAATTCATGATGCAAAGATGTCAAGCTAATCTCTTTGATGTTTCAGTCACACACTTTCAGTTCAATAAAAATCTCGGGTATGCATATAGATCTCCACAAGGACATTGTTATTGAGACATAAATTGCAAATGCAAAGAATGTCGGATAGATGCATATAGTAGCTTTCTGGATGATGATGATGTTTCAAAAAAGCAAAAGAAAAAAAAATCTTTCTAGCAAAAGCTTAAAAAAAAATATGAGAATTGATACCCTGAAGTTGATCTCTTTGGTGAACCCTCAGGAAAGTTTGACTACTATGTCATCTATCCTAAAAAAAAAAAAAACCATTCCCTCAAACCTACCCAAATCAAACCACACAAAAACCAGATTCCACCCAACCTTTACCATAAATTTCCATAATGCAACCAACCTACCCAAGCTCATATTTCTCTCCTTTTCAAGAGTTTCACAAAGACCAGTATAAACACATTTCAAAAATCCTAACTCCCACTAACAGATGAATATGAAAACCAAAAAAGTGTTTTTCGTGCTGAAGCAGTTTTAAACTGACAAACTAAAAATTCTCTCCAGCAGAATGCATACCTGCACAGAATTGAACACAAGTTGACCCAAGTCAATCATCATTTTGATCAGAGCCTTGTCAATCTTTAAAATATTATTCTTGAAATTCATACAAGGATCATAACACTTGATCAAGAACTCAGATATATGGCTGAAACCAACACTGGATTCACTTATACTTTCACCTAATAAGAAAAAGAAATGAAAAGCCTAAAGATTCAACTTACAGACCTTCAAAATCAATTTCGTCATAAACAACAGCAACAGGCAACCTCTAATTATAACATCTCCAAAAAAAATTTCACACCTTTTCAGTACAAATCTCTCCCAACATCCATCCCAACATCCTCACAACCAACACAACACTTCACTCCTATCTCAAACCAACCAGAATAACTTCCCTTTGGTACAATTGAAAAATAGATTTACAGATTTTGAACAAAATAACCAATTGATCCAAAACCAAAAAAAAATTACAGAACAACCACTTTATCAACTTTCAAAACCAAAACCAAGCTCAAGTTCCACACCTTAAAACCCTACACCACAACCAAACCAAAAACCTGTACAACTCATGATTTCTCTTACACAAACCTTTTCAGAAATACTTCATCAAATGGCACAAGACAATCTCCTTCAATTCTCCTTTGAAGATTTTTTCCTTCTACTTTTGAGACTGAATCACACATGGACACTGTCAAATCAGATGACTCAGTTGAAGCAGATGATACTGATGACTTAGACGAGATAATACTCTCTTAAATCTTCATGACAGAACCAACAATTGAAGTTCTAGATGATACTTCAGAAGTTCACAATCCTGATGCAATGGACACTGAACAACATCCTCCTCTACAACAATAACATGTTCCTCCTTCGACATCAAAGTTCTCAATTTTTACCATTGATGATATTCCTCCTTCAAAATAGCCCTAAGGTTCCAAGAGTTCTTAGCATAGGGACTAGTTGAATTAAACTCTCATCCTAATGTTATAATGAACACAATATTGATCAAATTTATTTTCAGACTAGTTAGAACTCTGAAAACTTTTTAGGATAACATTGATGAATACAGACGACTCCAGTTTCTTCAATGCCCAATAATCACAGAAGCTGTCTCCCAATTTGCAGTAATCTTTTATGGACAAGAAACTCACAGATTGAAAAATATTAGAGAAAAATTCTTCAAACTAAAATGTTGTTCTCTTCATCCAAAAGACCTTGACAGACACTATCAACAATTCTTCTAGTATTTTTACATACTTTGTGGATTTGATTATGTCAACTTAAAGTAAGCCTTTCTCAATTCTGTTTCAAAAAAACTTGCACAGCAAACAAAGACCCAGTTGAACCTCAGATCTATTGATGTTAGATCTATGAGTCTTGGAGATATCTACAAGATGATGTTAAAAGAACTTGATAAGATTTGCAAAGAACACAAATACATCAAAACCTTGGTGAACAACTCTAAAAAGTTAGAAAAGCCATGCTCTGACTCCTCTTCAGCCCTTTAAATCAAATGTTCTTCCAAAGATCCCACATGTTTTTACAGCAACAAAAAAAAAAACATTTCACAAGATTCAGACCTTTCAGACCTCCAATCTTCTCCAGACCCAGACATAAAAAGCTCTTCAAATATGCTAATAAACCCAGAAAATTTCAAAGATTCAAGTGTGCACGAAAGAAGAAAGACCCAAAGATCAAAAGTTTAAAATATTTTTTTGTGAAAAATCAAGACATTTTTCAAAGAATTACCCAAAATCAGATAAAAAATCAGTCAAGATGATCCAAGACATTACTAATATCTCTGGTATCAATCTCTCAGATGCTGATCTTGGATCAAGTTTTTCCCTTCATGATGAGTAGAATGAAAGATCTCTATTTATGATTAAGCAGCTTAATGATACTAAGTTTGAAGATTCAGATTACTCAAAATACTTAGATGACTTCACAGATTATCAATGTTATCAGTATATGTCAATCCAAGAACTTCAAAAAAATTCAAACTCTATAACCTCCAAAATTTCCTTTAACTCCAGTTCAAATCTTCCCTCACAAACATTCTCCTCCCATAACGTCACAACCTTTTTTAACACTAGTGCAGCTCAAACTATAGCAAACCCCTTTGTCTTACCCAAAAACTTTTGGACAAAACAAAAAATTTTCTTCAAAATCGTTGATGAGAATGTATTCTTTACAAACTTTATCAACAACCCTGTTACCCTTCAAATCTTTCCACGTTGTCAAATAACTCAAAAGATTTTAAGATCTCCACTTCCCCAGAAAGACCTTGTTATTGGTTTTGATATCATTACCAGTATACCAGGTTTAAAACTTAGTGAAAAAAGTATCAAGTTTGAAAGTTATTTTAGACCTTAGAAAAACCTTCGCAATCTTTTCACCCTAACTATTCAACCAAATATTTTTCAGGAATTTAGACAAAAGTTCATTCACTTTTCTTGTGCAGAAAATCATTCAGACTTCCTCTAGAAATGTGACCACCCACTTTGAAAAAACCCTGAATTTTTCATTTCCCTTCCTTTCAAAAAAGATAAAAATGTCAATCTCACAAAAGCTAGTTATTCAAGCATGAACTCAGATCATTTCAAGCTGGCAATCCAAGAATGTTCACTTCTCCAAGCTCAAGGATTAATTGAACCAACCTTTTTTCCATGGGCATGTGAAACGTTTTATGTTAACAAGCGTTCAGAACAAGTTCGTGAAAATTTAATATTGGTGATTAATTACAAGCCTCTAAACATTTTCCTTGCAGATGATAAGTTCCCTCTTCCAGAGAAAAAAATTTTGTTTGTAAATTTCGCAAATGCGAAAATCTTCTTAAAGTTTGACCTCAAAGCAAGATTTTAACAATTAAGTATACATCCACAGGACAGATACAAAATGACATTTTGCATTCCTCAACACCATTTCCAGTGGATAGTAATATCTTTTGGATTAAAAATTGCTTTTTCAATATTCCATAAAAGAATGACGAAGATATTTGCTCGAATTCTTGCTAATGCTTTGATCTACATTGATGATATCTTACTGTTCTCTCCAAATGTCACATCTCATACATAATTATTGGATAAGTTCTAACAAATTGTTTAACAGTATAGGATAATGATCTCAAAGAAAAAGATGATCATTGATGCTTCAAAAATTGATTTCTTAGGCATGTATCTAAAATATGAAAGTACATAGCTCAACCCCACATTGCTCAAACACTTGTAGATTTTTCTGATGAAAATCTTTCAAAAAAGCAAATCCAATAATTTCTCAGTATAATAAATTACATGAGTAAATTTTTCTTAGATCTTGCACAATTAACTCATCCTCTTAGACAAATGCTCAAGAAAAAACCACCCACGTGGTCCTAAAAACAAACAAATGCAACACAGACCTTAAAGATAAAAGCAAAGTCACTTCCAACTTTAAAAATTTCCTCTGATGAAAAAAGATTACTGCAGACAGATGCAAGTGAATAATTTTGGTCAGCAATTCTTTTAGAAGGAAAAAAATGAAAACAGACAAATCTGTAGTTACAAGAGTGGAAAATTTAAAGATTCGAAACTCCATTATCACTTTACACTAAAAGAGATTTTAGCTGTAAAGTATGAAATCCAAATATTTGAATTTTACCTTATTGGATATCACTTTCTTGTGGAATTAGATATGTCAGTCTTTGATCAGATGTTCAATTTTAAAAAGAAAAAAATATCAAATGCACAGTTACTCAGGCTATCACAGTGGTTCTCACAATACTCCTTCACCACAACACATATAAAAAGCAAAGATAACCTCAATCCAGAGATGCTCACAACACCTCCTTCAAACACCTTGCAGATCATTCCAGTCATTTGCATGATGACCTCTTTATCTTTACCTTTACCCTTCTTTGATCCTGTTCCTCAAACGGTAACCAATCTTTTTCTCTACCCTTACCTTAACAACCCAAAATACAAACCTTTTGTTTCAGATCCGAATTTCCAACCAATCTTTCCAGTTCACAGCTTTTCTCCTGAAATTTATCACAAATGGAATGACAAGAATCCCAAGACCCTTTTGAAGATTTTGATCCAGATCAATGGTTAGAAATCATAGGCTATGATTTCACACCAAGAACAGACAACTCACACCTCAACTTCTCTCCAGAACACACTTATCGTTATCTTAAATGATGCTCATGTAAGAAAGACACTCATGATGCTCCAAGACAAAAAAATTTCCTATTCCTGTCCAATTATGTATAATTACGTGTGATAATTTCAATTTTTTCAAAAGACTCCAAAAAGTTGATTATGATGCCTCCACATCAAGATAACTTTATGTCAAGTCTTCATATCTGAATTTCCAACTAGTCTTTCCAGTTCACAATTTTTCTCCTGAAATTTTACCACAAATAGAATGACAAAAATCCCAAGACCTTTTTAAAGATTTTGATCTAGATCAATGGTTAGAAATCATAGGCTATGATTTCACACCAAGAGTAGACAATTCACACCTCAACCTCTCTTCAGAACACACTTATCATTCTCTCAAATGATGCTCATGTAAAAAAGACACTCATGGTGCTCTAAGACAGAAGATTTCCTGTTCCAGTCCAATTATATATAATTACGTGATAATTTCAATTTTTTCAAAAAACTCTAAAAGGTTTATTATGATACCTCCACATCAAGATAACTTTATGTCAAGTCTTTATCAACTTTATTTCTAAGTCAAGTCATGTCTACTTTATGAGTCACCTTTACTTTAACTTTATGTCAAGTCACTTGTAAAGTTGTAATTATGCTTTGTCATAACCTTGTCCTATTAGGTTACTATTCTTTTACTTTTTCTTTATATAAATAGGATGCTACTTTTTCAAGAAAATATCAAGACTTCTCCAAGAAAGCATCAAGAAAGAAATCCTTATAACAAACTTTTCTTTATAAAATATGTTTGGCTAAAAATTTTTCTTCTCTTTTAATAATTCCATCTTCCTTCTTTCATAGTTACTTCTTTCATAGTTAAAGCTCTAGCTTCATATTTTTCTTCAAGTTATTCTATAGTTTGCAGTGATACAAATTGAGTATGCTCTACAATTTTCATAATATTATGGATCCTCTGCATCAAAAATTCTTGTTAAATCGTTAAACAGATCATTGATCCCTTTTTCTCAACCAAAGTTATACTGAACCAAAATCATACTAATAGTAAGTTACTATAATGAAAAACATATCTCCATAAAAGTTAGGCCCCCAATTCGACGTTAAGCCAAGAAAACGTCAGTCTTGAACACCGACTAAAATACTTTAGTTATATGTCTAATCTATGAAACGCTTATGATTGGTATTATCTGGACAAGTTGATCGATCTACACGCTATTAAAATAGTATCAGATAGTATTGTCAAAATTTTATTACTCAAAGAGCCCGAAATTGAAGTCGTCAATTATCAAAGCCTTGCTCGTACTACCTGCACAGCATTTTTACGCACAATGACAGGTAGTACAACCAAAACTTTGACAACTGACGACTTCAATTTCGGGCTCTCCGGGTAGTAAAATCTTGACAATACTATCTGATACTATTTCAATAACGTATAGATAGATCAACTTATCAAAATAATACCAACCATAAGCATTTCATAAATCAAACATATAACCAAGCTATTCTAACCGTTTTTATTCACAGCGACAGGTAATACGACCAAAATTCTGACAATTGACGGCTTCAATTTCGAGCTCTTCGGGTAGTAAAATCTTGACAATACTATCTGATACTATTTCAACAGCGTGTAAATCGATCAACTTGTCAAGATAATACCAATCATAAACGTTTTATAGATCAGGCATATAATCAAAGTATTCTAATCGGTGTTCAAGATTCTGATACTTTTCTGGCTTAACATCGAACTAGGGACCTGACTTTTATGAAGATGTCTTTCACTATAATAACTTACTATTAGTATGATCTTGGGTCAGTATAATTTTCTTTGACTGAGGAAAAAAGATCAATGATCTATTTAACAATTTAACAAAAATTTTTTATGCAGAAGATCCATAATATTATGGCAACTGCAAAGCATACTTAACTTGTATCACTGCAAACTATGAAATAACTTGAAGAAAAACATGAAGCTAAAGCTTTAACTATGAAAGAAGGAAGATAGAATTACCAAAAGAGAAAAAAGGTTTTTAGCCAAACATATTTTATAAAAAAAAATTTGTTACAAGAATTTCTTTCTTGATGCTTTTTTAGAGAAATCTTGATACCTTCTTGAAGAAGTAGCATCCTATTTATACAAGAAAAAAGTAAAAGAATAGTAACTTAATAGGACAAAGCTAGGACAAAGTATAATTACAACTTTACAAGTGACTTAACATAAAGCTAAAGTTAGATGACTCATCACTTATTTGACATAAAGTAAAAGTGACTCATAAAGTAAACATAACTTAGATAAAGTTGATAAAGACTTGACATAAAGTTATCTTGATGTGAAAGCATCATAATCAACTTTATGAGTCTTCTAGAGAAATTAAAATTATCACACGTAATTACACATAATTGAACTGAAACAGAAAATCTTCTGTCTTGGAGCATCATGAGTGTCTTTTTTACATGAACATCATTTGAGAGAATGATAAGTGTGTTCTAGAAAGAGATTGAGGTGTGAATTGTCTACTCCTGGTGTAAAATCATAACCTATGATTTCTAACCATTGATCTGGATCAAAATCTTCAAAAGGGTCTTGAGATTCTTGCCATTCCATTTGTGGTAGAATTTCAAAAGGTTTCCAGTAAGAATTCTATTTTACTAGTCCTGCATGATCAAATTCAAATCTAGTAGTTTCAGAAAGAAGTTTTGTCCAAACACCATCAAGTTTAGTTTCATAAATCTTTTTATCAATTTTAAGCTAATAATTGTATTTTGAAGGATAATTTCCCCATGAAACTTCATCTTGGAGCTCTGACCAATTTTACTTGAGAATTTTGTGATTCATTTCACAAATTTATCTCTGAAATTCAGTGTATTCAACGAGGTGATCAAACTATGAATCAAACAGCGAATAACCTTGAGAGCTATAAATTACTGCATAGAAAAAATACTGTGAATCTTTTGTCAAACAACTGCAAGATCTGTGAAAGATTAAAACAATATGAAGGTCAAGAAGAACTTCTGTATATCGCTCATAGGTTTCAATCCATTGAATCCAAATGGAAATGGGTCTGAACCAAGTGAAGAAAAACTTGAGATGTTGCTGACTGAGGTTCAGCTAGTGTTTGATATGGTTGATGGTTTAACTGCTGAAAAAGGTAGAGAAGGGTTTTGAGCTTTGGGAGTGAATTCTACAGCAATATAGTAAAGGTAACAAAGATACCACATAAAACAAACTGTTTCTTTCGGGAAACAAAGTGGTTCAAGGAATTTAGATGGATGGATGAAAAGATAGTCAGGGTATATACCAAGAGATTGAATAAAGGTGTCTCCAAACTATCTTGAGTATTTTTTACTGGTATTTGAATAATAGATGTAAGGCTTTTTGGTCAAGGGTTTGAGTGGCAAGAAGTCGTGGTAACTCTGAAGAAAGATTTTTCATTGAAAAGTTAAAAACTTCAGCAAGTAAATCAAATTCATCAAAGTGAGATTTCTGAGAAGAAAAAAAAATGGTGTTTTTAGCATGAGGCTTGTGAAGAAGAAGGTGTTAGATTCATCATAAAAATGACTGAAATGATCTGTAAGGTGTTTGAAGGAGCTCTTGTGAGCATGCCTGAAATGAGATTATCTTTACCTTTTATATGTGCTATGATGAATGAGTATTGTAAGAACCACTATGATAGCCTGCATAACTATGCATTTGACATTTTTTTTCTTTTTGAAATTGAACATCTGATCAAAAGCTGACATCTAATTTCATAAAAAAGTGATATCTAATAAGGTGAAATTCAAATCTTTGGATTACATACTTTACAACTAAAATCTCTTTTAGTGTAGAATGATAATAGAGTTTCGAATCTTTGAATTTTTTACTCTTGTAACCACAGATTTGTCTGTTTTCATCTTTTTCTTTTAAAAGAATTATTGACCAAAACTGTTCACTTGCATCTATCTAAAGTATCATTTTTTCATCAAAAGAAATCTTTAAAGTTGAAAGTGACTTTGCTTTTATCTTCAAGGTCTATACTGCATTTGTCTATTTTTGAGACCACATGAATGATTTTTTCTTGAGCATTTATCTGAGATGAGTTAACTGTGCAAAATCTGAGAAAAATTAACTCATGTAATTTACTATACCAAAAAATTACTGAATTTGCTTCTTTAAAAAATTTTCATCAAAAAAATATGCAAGTATCTGAGTAATGTGAGGTTGAGCTATATACTAACCATCTTGTAGAGGCATGCCTAAGAAATCAATTTCTAAAGCACCAATGATCATCTTTTTCTTTAAAAGTATTATCCCATATTGTTGAACAATTTACTGAAACTTATCCAATAACTGTGTATGAGATGTGACATTTAAAGATAACAGTAAGATATCATCAATGTAGATCAAAGCATTATCAAGAATTGAAGCAAATATCTTCGTCATTGCTTTCTGGAACAGTGAAAGAGCAACTTTTAATCCAAAAGATATTACTATCCACTGAAAATGATGTTAAGAAATGCAAAACGCCATTTTGTATCTGATCTGTAGATATATACCTAATTGCCAAAATCTTACTTTGAGAAAATTTTGAGAAGACTTTCGCATTTGTCAAATTTGCAAACAAAGTTTTTCTATCTGAAAGAGAAAACTTATCTGTAAAGAAAATGTTTAGAGGCTTGTAATTAATTATCAATCTTAATTTTCCACGAACTTGTTCTGAACGTTTGTTGACATAAAACGCTTCACATTCTCATGGAGAGGTTGGTTCAATTAATCCTTGAGCCAAGAGAAGTAAACATTCTTGGATTGTCATCTTAAAATGATCTGGGTTCATGCCCGAATGACTAGCTTTTGTGGGATTGACATTTTCATCTTTTTTTAAAGAAAAATAAAAAATTCAGGATTTTTCCAAAATGGATGGTCACATTTCTGGAGGAAGTCCGAATGATTTTCTACACAAGAAAAATGAATGAACTTTTGTCTAAATTCTTGAAAAACATATGGTTGAATAGTTAGGGTGAAGAGATTGCGAAAATTTTTTCAAGGTCTAAAATAACTTAAACTTGATACATTTTTCACTAAATTTTAAACCCGATATACTGATAATGATATCAAAACCAATAACAAGGTCTTTCTGGGGAAGTGAAGATCTTAAAATCTTTTGAGTTATTTGACAACCTGAAAAGATTTGAAAGATAACAGGATTACTGATAAAGTCTATAGAGAATACATTCTCATCAACGATTTTGAAGAAGATTTTCTGTTTTGTCCAAAGGTTTTTGGGTAAAAAAAAAGTTTGTTATGGTTTGGACTGCACCAGTGTCAAAAAAAACTGACTGTTATGAGAAGAGAATGTTTATGAGGGAAGATCTGAACTGAAGCTAAAGGCAATTTTGGAGGTTGGAGAGATTGGATTTTTTGAAGTTCTTGGACTGACATATACTTATAACATTGATCATCCGTAAAGTCATCTGAGTATTCTGAGTAATCTAAATCTTCAAACTCAGTATCATCAAAATGCTTAATCATAAACAGAGATCTTTCATTTTGCTCATCATCAAGAGAGAAAATTGATTCAAGATCATCATCTGAGAGATTCATACCAAAGATATTAGCAATGTCTTGGATCATCTTAGACTAATTTTTTGTCTGACTTTAGGTAATTCTTTGCAAAATATCTTGATTTTTTACGAAAACATTTTAAACTTTTGATCTTTGGGTCTTTCTTCTTTCTTGCAAACTTGAAATCTTTTGAGCTTATCAGCATATCTGAAGTGCTTTTTATGTCTGGGTCTGAAAAAGATTAGAGGTCTGAAAGGTCTGAATCTTCTTAAATGCTTCTTTTTCTTGTTGCTGCAAAAACATGTGAGATCTTTGAAAGAACATTTGATTTGAAGGCTTGAGAAAGAGTAAGAGCATGACTTTTTTAACTTTTTGAAGTTGTTCACTAAGGTTTTGATGTATCTATGCTCTTTACAAATCTTGTCAAGTGCTTTCAACATCATCTTATAGATATCTCTAAGAGTCATAGATCTAACATCAAAAGATCTGAAGTTCAACTGGGCCCTTGTTTGCTATGTAAGTTTTTTTGAAACAGAATTGAAAAAAGCTTGCTTTAAGTGGACATCATCAAATCCACTAAGTATGAAAAAATACTGAAAGAATTGTTGATAGTGTCTGTCAAAATCTTTTGGATGAAGAGAACAACATTTTAGTTTGAAGAATTGTTCTTTGATCTTTTCCAATCTGTGAGTTTCTTGTCCACAAAAGATTGCTGCAAATTGAAAGACAGCTTCTGTGATTATTGGGCATTGAAGAAACTGAAATTGTCTGTATTCACTAATGTTATCCCAAAAGTTTTTCAAAGTTTCAACTAGTGTGAAAATAAATCTGATCAATATTGTGTTCATCATAACATTGAGATGAGAGTTTAATTCAACTAGTCCCCATGCTAAGAACTCTTGGAACCTTGAGGGCCATTTTGAAGGAAGAATATCATCAATGGTAAAAACTGAAAACTTTGAGGTCGAAGGAGGAACATGTGATTGTTGTAGAAGAGGATGTTGTTCAGTGTCCATTGCATTAGGGTTGTGAACTTCTGGAGTATCATCTGAAACTTCAACTGTTAATTCTATCATAAAGATCTGAGGGAGGATTATCTCATCTGAATCATCAGTATCATCTGCTTCAACTAAGTCATCTGATTTGATAATATCCATGTGGTATTCAATCTCAAAGGTAGAAGAAAAAATATCTTCAAGGGAGAATTGAAGGAGATTATCTTGTGCCATTTGATGAAGTATTTCTAGAAGGGTTTGTGTAGAAAAAATCATAAGTTGTACAGGTTTTTGGTTTGGTTGTGGTGTAGGGTTTTGACGTGTTGAACTTGAGCTTGGTTTTGGTTTTGAAGGTTGAAAAAGTGGTTGTTCTGTAACTTTTTTTGGTTTTGGATCAACTGGTTATTTTTCTCGAAATCTATAAATCAATTTTTCAATTATACCAAATGGGGGTTGTTCTAGTTTGTCTGAGATAGGAGTGAAGTATTATGTTGGTTGTGAAGATGTTAGGATGGATGTTGGGGGAGGTTTGTACTGAAAAGGTGTGAAAAAAGATTTTGAAAGGGAGGTTGGAGGATTGTATGGTTGAAATGAAGGAAGAGTATAAGCTTAGTAAGGAGTGTCATGCATGCCAGTGTGAAGTGGTGTGAAGATGTTGTAACTAGAGGCTGCCTATTATTGTTGTTTCTGACAAAACTGATTTTAAAGGTCTGAAAGTTGAATCTTTAGGCTCTTCATTTCTTTCTCTCGTTCAGTGAAAGCATAAGTAAATCTAGTGTTGGTTTCAGCCATATATCTAAGTTCTTGATCAAGTGTTATTATCATTAACTGAATTTCAAGAATAATATTTTGAAGATTGACAAGGCTCTGATCAAAATGATGACTGACTTGATCTAACTTGTGTTCAATTCTGTGCAGGTATGCATTCTGCTGGAGAGAATTTTTAATTTGCCAGTTTAAAATTACTTCAGCACGAAAAACACTTTTTTGGTTCCCATATTCATCTCTGTCAGTGGGAGTTGAGATTTTTGGAATGTGTTTGTACTGATCTTTGTGAAACTCTTGAAAAAGAGAAAAATCTGAGCTTGGGTAGGTTGGTTGCATCATGGAAATTTATGGTAAAGGTTGGGTGAAATCTAGTTTTTGTGTGGTTTGATTTTGGTAGGTTTGAGGGAGTGGTTTTTCTTTTTTAGGATAGATGATATAGTAGTCAAACTTTTCTGAGGGTTCACCAAGGAGATCAACTTCAAGGTCTCCATTCTCATATCTTTCTTTAAGCTTTTGCTAGGAAGACTTTTTCTTCTTTTGCTTCTTTGAAACATCATCATTATCAAGGAAGCTTCTATATGCATCTATCTGACATTCTTTGCATTTGCAATTTATGTCCCAATAACAATGTCTTTGTGGAGATCTATATGCATACACGAGATTTCCATTGGACTGAAAGTGTGTGACTGAAACATCAAGGAGATCAGCTTGACATCTTTGCATCATAAATTGTGTTGGAAATATTGTTGGAGAAAGAACATCCTTTTCTTTGCTGTGATTAAACTTCAATTGTGACAGTACGATCCTGATTTGTCTTGTAGGTTGGATCAAAGTGTTCAATTGGCTTATCTTACTTCCAAATCTTTTGATAACTTGTCATATATGTCTTTGGGAGAAGGGTGACAAGTTCTTCATTTGAGATCTGCTTTGGAATGTGAACATGTCTAGGAATCCTATCTGCTGCTTTCATTTTGACAAAAACAGCATCACTAAAGTGTGAAAAAGGCAAGTTAATGGCATGATCTTGAACTCTATAAGCCATCTGGTAGTGAAGGGTTGCCTGAAGTCCTTTCATTTCTGTGCCTACGATCTGGACTTGAACTTTTAAAGCATCTAACAGTGTTGGATCATGAAGAGACATTATAATTTGGGAAGACTGTGAAGAAGACAGTTCCTACATTGAGCGTTGTCTCAACTATGCCAAGGGCTGTATGCTTGTGTTCTTTAAATCTTGTATCCAACAAGGCCATTCTGGAACATAAAGGAATTCTATTTCTGCCGTGAAAAGTTAAGGCTATTTTGATAGCACCAAAGTAGATATGAGTATCTTTGTTCTGACCACTGTTGAGAAAATTTTTCTGGGATCTGAAAAGTAACAAAGTATTCTTGAAGTCCTGCTGAAAGAATACATTGATCAAAGTTTGTGGCTTGAACATACTCTTTTGAAGCATGATATTTTGGTTTTAAAAGAGTTTTTAAAGCTCTAGTAAGAGAATGGGAGAAGTTTGAGAAAGTTGTATAAGGATTTACAAGGGGAAGAACTGTTTGTTAGGTTTTCTTTTCTTCTGGGATATACTCTACTTCATATAAGAACTTAAACTTAGAAGAAGAAGACTTTTTAAGTACAGAAGAAGGAGGAAACGACAAACTAAAAGAAGATCTAGAATAAGAAGGTTGAGAACTAGAGTTACAAATAGTGGATAGATCCATGAAAATAAGACTCTCTTTTGGCTTCCTTTTTCCAACTTCAATAATCAAGGCTTAGAAACATATTCTCTTCTCACTATCTTGGCAAGCTTCAAGCTCTGATACCATTTTTATGCACAACGGCAGGTAGTAAATCAAAACATTGAATAATAGCAACCAGCACAGTTGGCATTTCTTACAGGATTAGTGAAATGCCAAGGCAACCCCTCCTCCCAGTACCAAATGGTAACAGTTGAAACATTCTCCTGTTCCAGCTTCTATGTTGGGTTAATTACCTTGAATACAATCAGTATAGGTAACTATGCCAGCATTAGTAGAAATATTGTAAATTTTGATAAGTTATCGAAATAAGATTCATTTCAAATGCAGTTCGTGAATTGAGACAGCTATAATTTTCGGCACTAACAACTTGCTTTCGTTACTTTGGCGGTAATAACATTGCTTTAATACAGCTATAAAAATTGCCCTTGGTACATCCTACATCAATCAATAATAAATTGACAAACGAAGAACCAGGAGAAGAGAGCAGTAAAAAAAAAATGGGCACTTGCCAAATACAATTGAAGTACCATCTGTTCCTGATTAATGCAAGCTGACTTGAAAGTCTAGCAAATTTACTCATGAAACAGCTCCATTTTTTCTATATTCTTTTCATCCCCAGCAAACCTGTATGGACAGGTCCTAAATAACAAACCTTGCAGCCTTCCCAGAAGCCTAATGTAAAATGGGCAAAGGTAAATACAAAACAATGCTCGAGAAAGGTAGCGAAGAGTGCTGACTGCCAAGCACTTTTCAGTTGTAGACCATAATTAGGAGCAATGCAAATAGCAAAGAAACAACCAAAACAAGGTAAAAGCCACAAGGTAAAGGCATGCACGAAAATAATATGTAACACATATGAAGTCAAGGAACATGAAGATATGGGCATACCATGGATGGGTGTTTTAAAATGGAAACATTGTAGACATTGCTCCCGCGGTCACAGGAGAGGAGAAGCCTTGAATGTGGAATGCTCTTCCAACTATCTCCAAGAGCTGGTTTGGAAGTTCCTCCCTCGCTACCCACTGTGTGATTAATCACCTATAAAAGAGATTCTTAAGGAATAGTTACTCCATGAGGCATAGTTATATGGTTAAAAATAATTACTAGATTCAAGCAATGATACTCAAATTTACATTTTTATTGGTTAAGCCATAATAGCACAGAAAAAATCCAAGGGCAAAACTTACAAGTACTGCAAGATTATGCTGATGTGCTAGCTTTTTAAGCAAATATCCAGCAGATGCCATCAAAGCACGTCCTGTATCCATCAACTTTGAATTTATGACTCCTTATATGCATACTAGCAGTACATGATATATTCAGTCCTATGAACAAAAAAAGAATATATAGAGTAGGCTTTCTAATAATGGACATGGAAAACAGAGAAAACCATTTGTTTTCATTTTACCTATAAAAGAATCTTCTATCTAAACACTCATCAAAAGCCTCAGCAAATCAGAATATAACCTATCAGAAGAAACAGTGATGCGTGCATATATACCCCGTGTGCTGGTGCCTCCAAGCACAGGTGCGATCAACAATGAGATTGAATCAACTATTAGCAATCGAATCCGACAGCCTCCTCCTCTTTCCTGAACAAATGTTCACTTGGTCAGTAACACTATCAAGTCAAAGTCAATCAAAGCATAACAGTTTGGATGCTTCATTTAATTGAAACCTGACATCTCAAGTTAGATTCTAGCTGATGTAGCACATCAAACATCGCAAAAATGTCAAACACAGAGTGACATAATATGTTGCTCATTACTTTTTGCAGAATTTGGTTTTTGGCCTGCAGAATGATAAATAAGAAGAGACCAAAGTCAATTACCATCAAAAGCAACAACGGCAGCAAAGGATATAAGACCAAGAAAGAAACTAAGATATCAATATAACAATAAGAGCAATGAAATGTTTCACCTGAGCAGATGCAAGCTCATTGGTCTTTCCAAGGAAGTATGCAATGCGTTGAGGTGAAAACGAGTTGCCTGTATCTAAGTACAGCATCATATAATTCCTTGCAACGTTTGATGCAGTTTGTAGGCAAACCTAAATATCACCAAGAATTTGAATCCGCTTTTAAACAGACATAAAAACCCAAGTTTAATGATGAAAAAAAGGCTCTTCTGGTCTTATTATGAAAATACATTTGAGATCAAGTAGAACCTGATTAATTCACCCTAGTTCCTAGAAAAAAAAAAACACACTTTATACTAATTTAGAGACAAAACAACAATATTTGAGGCAATTTGTAGGCAAAACAAAATATCACCCAGAAGTCAGTTTGTAAACAGACAAAAACATCAATGTTTGATTATGAAATGAATAGACTCGTGGTCCCATAAAGTAGAACCTGATTAGTTAATTCTACAAGCAAAACAACTTGTCCAATATTTGGATCTAAACACTAAGCATCCTCAAGCCAAGTATGCAACGGGTGCTACAACACAAATAGTGGCTTCACATGAAGATGAAGAAGTAATTATACGTTGGGCTCTCGCTTCATATCATACTGAATTGGTGACTCCCATGATTTACAACTAGTAAAATTCAGTATCATTAAATTGCGCAAAGAACTTACATAGACACGATCAAAACATCATATTGTCAGCATAAATTTTAACTAAACCTATCAGAAGCGCCTCATTGACAGCTAAAATGCATCCATCATACAAAGAAGGGAATATTCTTACTTGTGTTTTACCAGAAGCTGATGGTCCAACTAGTTCAGTTAATTGGCCAACACGGATCCCACCTCCAAGTAACAAATCAACCCTTCATTAACAACATTTCATAATCATAAAATTATCAAACTCCTCATTGTAATTACAAATTAACATAACAAAATTAAATGACTCTTTATACCCTTGAATTCCAGTAGGTAAGAAATGTTTATTCCTTTTAGCATCTTCCAACAATTCCATCCCATTCAACCATGGCTGATGCATATCATCTATGATAGAGAGAATTTGTGTAATTCCCTAAATGCCCCCCAAAAATCCCAAAATACTTAGTCACAATTATTAAAATTAAACAACATAAAATAAGGGTTTCCTTGAATTTAACCTCCTTTAATCTCTCTGAAGAAACATTTTGTTCCGCAAAAGCGGCTAACATATAGAGATCATGAATCAGGAAATCTTCAACTGAAAAGGGTTCATATGCAAAATGAAATAATTAGAAGGACCAAAAATGAAAAATAAAAGGAGAAGGAAAATAAACGGACCTGAGAAAATGCCGTGAGAGGCGCAGAAATTTTGGAAATTGGAGTCTATAATTGGATACTCAGTCTCTAGATTTTTCAACGGCGCCATTTTTTGTCTAAACCGGAGAGACGAGGAACGGGAGTTGGGCTTATGAGCCCGCGCCAGAGGTTATGACAGTAAATTGGACGGAACACTAGGGGCAAAAGTTTGAAAACCGCGCTTTGAAATAGGAGAGTGAGACCAAGGCCCGAACAGTCCTGCGGGCTCAACTTTACCAAAGTTCAATGACTCTAACCAAAATATAGTCACAGCAACAAAGCCCAACATCAAAGCAAAAAAATCTGTTTTATAATAAAAAATTAAAATTATATAAAAAAAATAAAAGGGAAACAATATCTTTACCAAAGATCAATCTCAATTTGGCCCATCTACTGTATCAATTATGTTATTTTGGTGCTTCTATACTTTTAATTTTAATAAATTAGTCCTTACATTTTAATAAAATAAGGACAACTAAAAAATTAATCTACCTCAACTTGTAAAAACAGAATTGGGATAATTGAGGGATCCAAGACTTAAACCTAAATCATAATATAGTGTATTTAGCAAAAAATACTCTAAACTGCAATCATACAATTCTTGGAATGAAGTATGAAAGGCAAATACTATTACCCCATATAAGAAAACTTAAACCATGTTTTAATACCATAGCATCCTCTTACATGAAAAGCATTTATTGAATAACTAATACAAGCAGAGAGCTAAAGGAAGTCTTCGTTTCTTCAATTTGGTGGTGGAAAGAAGATGGCATCGTTGGTTCTCTTGGAGCGGAAAACCTTCTCTGTCTCAGCAGGAACATTGAGAGATGCCTGAAGAACTTCAGGAGATAGCGCCTTCCAAGCCCCAATACTTCCAGCCAAGTGGGTGAATACAGGGCTGTAATCATAACAAATAATATGTCAGAATTAGAAATACTTGCTATCAAAGAATTAAAAGATGGAATGGAACCATGAGTTCAGGAAAGAATGACTTACTTGGGAGTGGTGATGATAGAGAACCATGACAAACCATCTGGATCAGCAATCTTTGAAACGACAAAGAACCTTGGTACGATCAACAGATTACCTGCCTTCACAATGGTTTCCAGGACCCTTTTGCCATCAACACCGACAACTTGGAGACGACCACTTCCCTTAACAATATATGTCACCTGCAGTGCTGAATCACAAGAAAAGCCAGGAGAGCACATTGCATTTCCTTCCAACCTAACAAGATCAGCACCAAGCCCAACCTCACCAACCAAAGGTAGATTTTTGGTATTCAACACCACAACATTGCCAGCATTCCTAATATCAGTATCTAATGGAGCCTCCTCGCAGTTCAAGGCCATTCCTTTTCGGTGTTCTGGCTTTGGTTCAGGCATCTTAACATTTGCATCCAGCTTCACAATGCCTTTGCCTGTTTGGTTCCCGATAAGTGCCTTAACAGTTTCGTCATCCACGTCCCATGCTCTTTTCACAAACTCAGTTGTGAAGCCAGTGAAGATACCATTGGAGCCAGTCAAAAAGAAATCAGTAAACTGCCCACCTTTATGGCCTTTAGAGGTATCACCCATAAAGAGCACCACCAATTCAGTGTCCTCCTTGTTATACCACCAGGTAATAACACCGAAAGGAAGAGCAATAGCATCACCCTTCTTAATTGCAATCACTTTCTCCTCTGATTCAGGAAGGACAATTCCAGCAACACCAGCTCCTAAATAAAGTCATAATCAAGGAGCTATGCCAGTTAAGAGATCAAACATAAAGACAGACTAAAGTGAAAAGAGATTTGCAGTGAATAATCTTATGCTTAATTGGAAATTGATTGCAATCCAATTACAGCAACAAAGACTAACACTATAATTTTAGGAAACACCTCCCTCTAGTTTTGATCTGTTGCCAGTTGGTATTTCAACCCAACTTATCAAAGCTAGACCAAAACCACAGTTCAAGAAAAGAAATCACTTGCTTTGCCATTCTCAGTAAAGAATATATCTCCAATGATTACTAATGTGGAAACAATTAAACAAAGAATATTAGAATGGAACTCTTTTTTGGTCAAAATGAGTGAATGGTATTCTTTATTCCAGTTTTAAAGATTACTCCATGTAAAACAGTGTATGTTCTTCAAGAACACCAAAAAAAAAAAAAGTTGAGGACTTTGAACTAAAATGGCTATCTTTGGGCTCTTTCACAAGTAAACCAACATTCCAAATAAAAGCAACACATAAAAGAACAAAAACAGAGAGCCGATTCCATACGGTAAAACCACACCCCTAGGCATCAAAATAAAGATTAAAGGATACCAAATAATCTGGCAAACTGCAAACTCTAAAAAGCAGACGTTCTCGCACAAAATCAACTTCTTACACCTTTCTTTTCACTTCCCCCTCCCCCAAACATCCCAAAAGAAAAAGATTTGAAATTTCCATCAAAATCCCACCGTCAAAACAAATCTTATAATAAAACAGTAAACAAATCCTTGCAAATTCAGATCATATACTCTGAACGACATAAATAACAAAAATATCATATTTTGATCATATCCCGACTCCGATCATATGTCATAAGATTAAAAAAAAATAAAAAGAACAAATTACAAGAAAAAACAAGAACCACAACCAACGGAAAGAAAAATGGCATCATAGAATCAGACAAAAACCCAGAAACGAAACCAGAAAAAGGGGACAGATTTGTAAAGATATTACCTTGAAGAACATAGGCAACCTTGGAAGAATCAGAGTAACAAGGAAGGGCAAAGCCATTTTTTTCGAGCGACAACTTGGCTGCACCAATGTTACCTTCACGCAACATAGGGAGTTCATTGGGGCACCAAGCATGATAGCTTCCACCGTTCTCACCATAAACTTTCTTAGCCAACTTTGGAGAAAGATCAAGTTCCATCTTCTTCTTCAACAACAAAAACCAAATCGCAGAACAAAACCAAAAAAAAGTTGCTACTACTATTATCAGAATCTGCTCGTGATTTCTGAAGTGTGATAAAGGGTATTTATAAAAGACAAATGGAAATATATACACACATACATACGGATAAGCATTACCTTGGCTGAATTAGGATTTTGATTAATGGATAGTAACTGTGTTTTTGGAGCAATTTATGATTACATTTGAGAATTTTTCACCTTTTTAATTAATTTGTTTCTTAGTTGGATTCTTATTCCTAATTTAAAGTTAGGAAACATTTTTGTGGGGCCTACTGTGAAGTAATAATAATACTGATAAAGTAGAAAACTTATGTAAATTTGCCACGTCAGGATAAAATAAATAAAAAGTTAATTATACTTTTAATATGCATCAAGATAAAATAAAAAAAAAAGTTAATTATATTCTTCATATCTTAAATTAGGAGAAAATGTATAAATTGATATGTAAAAAATTAAAATATATAATTTATATTATAAACTTTCAAATTATATATTATGGTAACCCAAATTATAATATTATTAATTATATCAAGTACATATATGTGATATTTAACAAATATTGTCAAGTTATGTATTCATCAAATATATTATTAATATCTTTTTTAATATAAAATTAAAAAAATATTTTTGCTTGATTACAAAAATTATTTAGGATTGGCCAATTATTATTTGTCATGTGATATTCACTTTAAGTTTTTACAAAATGTTTAACAATCTTATTTAACAAATAACATAAATTTAACAAAATTATATTAATTAGATATTATATAAGTGAATTAAACTAATAATATTAAATTTTAAATTAAAATTATAAATAATTTAAAATTTTAAGATACAAATTGTATATTTTAATTTTTTAAATATCTATTTATATATTTTCCCAAAACTCAAATACTAAAATTAGAATTAACTCATATAAAAAAAGACAATTGTCATATATTGTTGGAAGATATTTTAAAGATTGGATCAAAACTAATTATATTATTCTTTCCTAACATTAATCTTTTACATGTTTTTAATGCTTTTAAGAAATTGTTACTAAATTTTTTAAGTTTTAAATTTAAATCTTGTTGTGTGTAGATTTGATTGTTTATGTATGTTCTAATTTATTAATTAATTATTTAGTTATTATAATTTAATTATGATGTAATAGTTAATTATTCAATTTATGTAATATTTACCATGATTATAACTTTAAAAGAATTTGTTATTTTGGAAAAAATAAAAAATAAAAAATAAAAAGTTAAAGGAACAACGAAGTTAAGACTATGATGCTCAAGTCAATGACTTTGAGATAGATATACATGCTTAGAGTAATGTTAGTCATTCCTTCAACCCTTCATTTGGAAGCTCTTATACATTATTTGCATGACCTAAATCAAATCTAATGTATGCCTTTTTTCTTCATGCACGAGTGCAGTTCAGTTTGGATAAACGACGTACACATGATATCCTTAAAATTAGCTTAAATTATCTCATAAATCTGATATTGTCTTTGGATTTAGGAGAGTGTTTTGAGTCTAATATATGTTTTTTTGGGTAAATTTGAAAATAAATAAGACAACTCATATATTCTCCTGATAATGAATATAATGCTTAACTCAAGTTTTTTAGTTTGCATATTAAGACAATAAAATTAAATAAAAATAAAATACAAACAATTCCTCCCATAGATAAGGCTTCCATATTGCAAATGCTCAAATGAATAATAGGAATGGAATTTTATTATTATTAATATTTGGGCTAAACCATCAAAGAGGTCTTTGAGCTTTACCCAAGTGTAGAATTTACGGGTCATTTTTTATGGGTTGGGCCGTTATGGTAGGCCGAATGTCTGTTAATCACCGAATGATTGCGAGGTTCTTCACATTGTTTACAGCAATATAGAAAACGCAGCTACCATTAATTACATCATAGGGCAGAGAGATTCAAGTTATATCATTAGAATGAAAATGGAATATTTGATAGCTTTAAAAGCAAATGAAAATGGAATTTACCTTATAGCATTAAATATTAATGTTTTCTGGATTACAGTTATGATTTGGAAAGTTCTATGAAATTTATTATTTATATTCCTAGTTTTAAAGAACTCTCACAATTGCCAATCACCCTCATTCATGCTAGTGGTACATGTTAGGAAATTCCATAATGATGGTCTTCATTTATTTATTTATTTATTGTTTTTGCCTTTTCTTCCCTCTCCCTTTGTTCAAACTGAACATAATACAGTAAGAGAATTCAACGAAAGGCAACATGAACAAATCAACCTACTTTAACAAATTTTTTTCCACTTTTTTCTTTTTCATATTTGAATAGAAAGAACCACAATCATATGCCTGAGAAGTTGCATATACATCTAATTCCTTCTGTAAACAAAACTCAGAAGAAAACAAAAAAAAGAGCATTTTGTGCTTTAATTTACCTATAGTTCATAATTCATATCCCTGAACAAGAATGTAGTGCCACTATTTATTTTTTTTGTTTCCTAAAATTTCAATTCCAACAGCTATGAAGCTGCAGCTTGGATTTCATAAGATCGTTCAACCAGAGTCTTGGTGGCAAGATTCAGAATGCAGCTTTAACATAGGCAAATTCTTACCTGAATAGAATTAGATGCAGCAACTGGTGCAAAATTTGACCTGGAGAGATTAAGGGATCCCTTTCACAGGACTAGAAGCTCCATTTTGTGTTTGTCGCGGAGAAGGGGGCTTCGGTGATGCTTTTTTCAAGAAGTTTTTTGTATACAAGGAGCCAAATACAATGACCTGATCAAGGCATCATATGTATCATCAGGTTTTGAAAATCAACAACAATGTAGAACAAATTTAGTTGAGACTTACCGCCCCAATCCACTGTTCCCAACTAAGGGGATGGCCAAACCACACACATGACAGCATGATGCTCACCAGCTTAAACAACAAAAAGAGTTGGAGGAATCACCATTCATCAGATATATATCATTAGGAGAAAATGAAACATTAAACTTTATTGTAGAAACTTTGATTATACCTGTCTTGTGGTCATTATGGCAGCAAATGTGAGGGCGCCAAATGTACGAATCGTGTAAGAAATGAAGAATTGACTGGCTGTTGCAACCTATAACAGATAATCCCTTATAAATTTAGAACCCCACGTTATGTCTTCTCTATAAGTCAGGGACAATAAAAGAAGAGCACAACTCATGATCCTATCATCAGTTAGTGCCCATTAAACCTAGAACAGGAAAGCAAAGATCACTTACAGTAGAAAGTAATGCAATATCAAGGAAGCAATCATTGTGGCGATAAACAAAATCTATAGCTGGAAGTAAATGTCCCTGTAATATAAGACCTAAACCAAACAGGAAAAAGTCAATCACAACCAGTAACCGATCAGTAAATTGCAATGCAAAGAAACAAACTGAAAAGTAAAACAGATTTATTATTCCTGAGATAGAGTAGGTAGAAGGAACTTTTACCTGTCAAGCTAAGAACACAAGAACACAATGTTGTGTAGAATATTTGATTGTGTATTTCCATATTGTAGCCTTTAAATAATTTATCTTGGAATGTGCTTGTAAAGCCATCGAACCTGTTAAATGTAGAAACAAGCATCTAAATCCAATGAAAACCTTTTCTCCCAAAAGCATTTAGCATAGCAAGGCTAGTTGAATTAAGACTACAGAAATATTTCAGCGTAAAGAAGCCTTTGTATGTACAAGCAGTTTTTCACTAATATAAGTGTAATCAATGTAACAAATGCCACTGATAAATCAGCAATTGAGAGTTTAGACCTATAATGGTACATATATCACTATATATTTTGAAGATCCAATTACAGAAAGGATCAACAAATATCTTTTATGGTGAGAGGAAATAAGTTTCAGATTGATACCCAAGATAACCAACCATCAAAGAAACGCCCCAGACAGTATTTTCTCTTCCTTTGCTGTAAGGACTCATGTCAGTTCCTTCCTACAGTGAGAGCATAATTAGTTTATAAATAATAAAGTCATAGTACAATCTAAAGCAGCTAATCTGCAATAAAATAAAAAATTAAAAATAAAAGAAACACAAATCCTTCCTCTATAGCAATGCATCATGTATGCCAGCAGCCATCAAATAGAGCAAGTTAAACAAATGTCTATGCATAATATCATGGTTCAATGCCTCGTAATTTTAAATATATATCCTAAATTAGCCCCTTCCATCCACCAATCAATCTCTTATATGAACTAAAGTAAATCATGTACATGAAAATGAAAACATGTTGAGAATCTCATTGTCATTCAACCGTTAAACAACCACAAAGAAAACAATGAATGGAATGAGTTGACAAAGACCAGAATTTTACCGGAAATAGTATAAATATTGAACAACCTAGGGTCACCAGAAATGCTACCAAATAGTCAAAACCCTTATATGTCTTCTGCATAATGAAAGTGCCCCAAATCTGTAAAAAAAAAAAAAAGACTAAAAGTCATCAGCAAACTTTGCCACTTAAAACTGGAAACAAGAAATAGGGGGTAGTGTGGGGGGGGGGTGTTGGCTAGCATTAAGCATTCATTGGATGAAATTTAAGAGTCCAGAAACTTACAGAACCATTTGGAATAACTATCCATAATTAGTCATGCAAAAGTAACTCACCATTACAGGTATCATTTTCGCACACTTAGCAAGAGTCTGAACAGGAAAGCTGACATATTTGAGGGCCTAGAATACAGAAATATTGTCATTAAAATTATTATACCATAACTGCATCTAAAGGTGCTAATTCAGAAAATTTATGTTCGAATACAAATACTCTGCAAATTAGAACTTCTGTAGAGAGCAACATAGTTGTATTATATGTCAATTACGGATACAACTTTACCTCATATTGACATGTTGTGGTTAGGATGTTTGATACTGATATAAGGCAGTACTTATAGACTGGAGCAACAGGATCCAAGGCTTTCTTACTTGCCTAGAAAAAGAAAACAAAAGCAAATGAAAATTCTAAAGTATGAAAATATATCGGCCAATCTTGCCATCTTTTATGTGAGATGATTCATCTCTTGGCTATTTCATAAGGTCATAAGGCAAGAAGCTCCTAACATCTTAGCCGAAAAGTGAAATGATGAGTGTTATCCTCCTATATCTCCAGAAAACCATTCCTACTCCCTTCTTAAGGCCCATAGCAAAAAAAAAAAAAAAAATACAACAGTAGTATATACAGTTGCAGCAACTTGCCAGTGACAGTTACATACCAGTAAAGAACCAGCAGAGACAGCAGACGTTGTGATGCGGTTGCAGAAAACGAGAAACAATGAGTATTTAAAATATTCCTTGTTCAACCCATACGGGACTCTCATGATCTTTTCCTGCATAAAAGTAAACTTCCATCAACACTTTGCTACAAATGAACACATGCAACTAAACCATTTTGTAGACGATAACTATATTGCCATGGGGTCCAGCCCCATTAGTGGTCAATTGGTCAAATAACCAAAGAAGAAAACATGTTCTCCACTTTGAAAGACAAAGTGATGTGTTGCCCGAAAATTTTCTTTCCTTTTAGGCACCAAAAGAAGAAAAAAAAAAAAAACGATGCATGTGCACCCAAAAGAATGTTGAAAATTTGTGCAAGAGGAGCGTATTTTGGAGCAGTTTGCAACCTATACAAGGCTAAAGATGCAGATTTTTTTTGCATTGAGGAAAAATAAGATGCCTCGCAGGGAGTTGGATCATGCTGCTAATAACAAACAATCATATCTCTTGAAAATTAATAAAGCTCAGACATTAATGGCATGACTGCCCTTGTTTACATTCCTTAGTGTTTGTTTCAGGCACCCCTTTAACTAGAAAGATCAACCTAATTGCAGCTGGAATTACTACTCAAACCTTCAATTCTAACATAGACTTACTGTGATGAAATACACAAGAATCATTCTGATATATCCATCACCACGGCTAAAATTCCTTTTTTTTTTTTTTTTCATTTTCCAAGTTTCCAAACAAAAGGTACCAATATCCTCCACCAGAACTTGCAAAATATAGTAATTAAAAAAGAAACACTTTTGGGCTTGTATATTGTACTAAAATCAATTGTTCTAGATGCTCTAGACAAAGATATTACAATCTAGGCTTTCTTTTTATAAACAGTTTACATTAAGAAGAGACATTTGAATTAAAAAAAAAAAAAGACCCAAATTCGTTTTAGGTACAAACGATGCAATTAAAAATTAACAAAAGAAATCCTACGAATATAAAGATAAAAGACTAAAAATAAAGAAACAAACACAAAATTTTATTCTATTATTTTAAGAAAAAGACGAACCTGTAAAACTCCATAGATAACCAGAGTAATCATGATTCCACTGACGGCGAAAATTCCTTTCCATATTTTGTTCTCCCTAACCCCATTCGTCGTTGGTAATGTTTCGGCCATGGCCCATTCAGCAGTAAATCAAAACAATTTAATTTAATAAAATTTCTTTTTTTTTAAAAAAAAAAAAGGAGCTTCAGAAGGCAAAGAGAAAATCCGTAGTACAGAGGATCAAAGCGAAAACTTTCTTTCTCAGGACGCGTGGAGGAAGGAAGGGAACGGTGGGGGGTTTTTAAAGGAGAGGAAGAAGCGGAAACTTGTGATTAAGAAAACAAAAAGTTGTCGTTTTAAGCTTTGGAGAGATCGGAGATAGTGTCGTTTTAAGCCGGCGAGTTTCAGCTGCCGACTTTTTCTGTTGGCTTATTGGGGAAATCTACTACGGACTACGCAGAGTAGAGAGGTTTAAAGTTTGCCACATCAGCAACCGGGAAATGGGCTTTAATGGAAGGCGAGTGAGCGCGTGAGATTGTATCTGGGCCGATTGTTTTTTATTGGGGGTCAGGGTCAACAATGGAGAAAATGAGTCAATTCGGCTTTGATGGAGAAAATACGATGAAGATGATCCTAATGATTCATGTTCATCCCATTGAAAAGATCGGAAAAGAAACAAAAATGAATAGCCAAATCAAGCTCCAAAAAAGAACAGTAAGACAATGAGGTGCTAATGACTCCTACTCAGCCCGCACAAGTGTATGACAATGTCTGTTCCTTACAGAAATTAAGAAAAAGAAATCAGATTGCTGCTGCAAAAATTTGGTTTCTGTAACTTTTATTGCAAAGAAGAATGCCACGTTTTAAATCTAAAAAACTAGTACCAGTTTTTGTTTGTTGGCAAAAAGGCATCCCATGGCATTTTTGTCTTTGGTTATCTTGAAATGTTCTCCCCTTTGTGTTTTGCATTTTATGTAGAACAACAGAAAATTTTACAAACTTGGCTTAACTTGAATGCTAGAGATGATTTTCAGCAAAATAGAGATTCGATATGTAACACTCTCCGCTGCAAAACAAATGTGAGATCAAGCCCAAACCATAGTCAAGACACTGATAAATTTAAATTCTTTTGGACATGACATCAAAGACCAAACCATAGTCAAACTTGGTTTCAAGGCAAGTACCGGGAGAAAAAAGTGGAGAAACCTCGAAGCACCCTTTTTCCCTTTTAGAAAGAGAAGTTATTTATCCTTTTGTGATTTCTCCACTATGTGACAATTGAATACTAGATCAGGACTAAAGGGATATGCTTGAGTTGAGGAGATTAACACATTGTCGTGGCTCTTTACTCTGTTTGGATGGGGTATGAAAAAGATAGTTCTGTTTGAATTTGGTTCCAGGCGTATGTTGTCATGTCAGAGGGGCATTCATGTCATTGTGATTAATATCATGTGGATGGCTACTTGTGAAATACCATCCGGAACTAGAGGCGGGCTTTTATTCTTTCCATGGCACGTAATATGCAAATTATGGACCAAGAAAAAACACCAATAAAGCAAGTAGAAGAGATTCTGCTATCTCAATTTTTTTTTTCCTGAAGCTTTAATTCCATGGAATGTCCTTTGTTTCCTCATTCTTTGTTCCCTCTTATCTTCATAAACACAAGGTATATTTATCAATGATACAGGTTACATGTGAACTACGATTTATTTTCATTGAAGTTTGTGTTGGAATAATGGTGCTGCTGTTACAGATTTCCTAGATGTTTTGCTGTTCGTCGAGGAGTAGAGATTAGATTATACAGAAGAAGATGGTTGAATTCTACTTGCTGCGCTGCAGGGGTATCTCAGATTGGAGCTGGAAACCTGTTTGATGACAGCTCCTTGAAGGGGGCTGAAAATAGATCCTTGTTGGGACCACTTGGCGAATCAGCTTCAGCAACATTTGGAACACTGGATGCTGAAATTACCCCCGAAACCATTGATTTTTTTGTCAGTGACGCCGAGGGTGACCCAGACTGCCCTTCCAAGGGATTTGCTTCGATTGAGCAGGCCTTGAATACAATACGCCAAGGAAAGGTTAGGAGCCACTGTCACTCTATTTAATCCTTTTGCATTTTTTTTTTTTTGTAATCATTTAGTTGCTAGCTTTAAAATTCTTCTATGTGAAAATGAATGGATTATTGTGATGCAAGTTTTATAAAACTGTTTTATGTATAACAGAACTAGTGTTGACAATCACTGCATTATTTTCTTAGTTTGTGATTGTTGTAGACGATGAAAATGAGGATGTTGAAGGAAACCTTATCATGGCAGCTTCTCATGCAACTTCTGAGAAGATGGCTTTTATGATTAAGCATGGTTCAGGCATTGTTTCTGTAGGTATGAAAGAGGAGGATCTTGAAAGGCTGAAGCTTCCTCTAATGTCACCAGAAAGTGAAGATGAAGATTCTTCTGCCCCAACTTTCACAATCACAGTGGTATGTTTTCTCCGTATAGCAAGACTTTCTGTATTGCTGCTATTTGAAGCTTGTTGCAATAGTTTAATTCAAACTGTTCTGTTAACTTCATTTGTTTTTGTCAGGATGCAAAAACCGGCACATCAACAGGAGTTTCGGCTTCAGATAGGGCAAAGACCGTTCTTGCTCTGTCTTCTCCAGAGTCAAAACCTGATGACTTCAGAAGGCCAGGTCATATATTTCCTCTCAAATATAGGAATGGTGGGGTTTTAAGAAGAGCTGGTCATACCGAGGCTTCTGTAGATTTGATCATGCTTACTGGTTTGCGGCCAGTTTCTGTTCTTTCATCCGTTGTTAATCCAGAGGATGGTTCTATAGCATCTTTGCCCTTTATAAGAAAGTTAGCTTTGGAGTACAGAATTGCAGTTGTCTCAATAACTGATCTGATCAGGTGAGCTATCAAATATATCTTGGTTTTCACTGTGTAGGTGTTAGACTTGCATTGTCAAGTTTCAACTACATAGGCTCTCTCCATGCATTTACTTGAGAGTTTGCTGTTGTTTATCCACCCTTGATGCACTAACATTGCCAAAACCGACATTCCTGTTTGTACTTAATAGTTCAAACACTGTATTTTAAATAAATAACTAAAAATATAGATCATGATTTAACCCAAAAAAAAAAAACTGTTCACATATTCAATGTACAATATATTTGCCAGTGCCAATTCTTTCTGCTCGTCAATTATCCTTTGCTTTGCTTTTCTCCGTGTATTTAAATTGAAGTTTTATCTACGGAATTTTGTGCCTGTCGTCTTGCTATTGTATTCTTAAGGATTGGTTGAACTAAATGTGGCCCGTTATTTCAAAGGTACCGGAGAAAGAGGGAAAAGTTAGTTGAAAGAACTGCTATTTCGCTTCTGCCTACAAAATGGGGTCTATTTCAGGCTTACTGCTATCGCTCAAAGTTAGATAGAACAGAACATATAGCAGTTGTTAAGGTAAAACTGCTCCATGTAAAAGAAAATTCAGTTGTTTTTTTAGTAACTTTAAACTGTCCAAAACATCTGCCAAGCTGATTTCTCTTTTCAAACCCCAAATAGGGAGACGTAGGGAATGGACAAGATATTCTTGTAAGAGTTCATTCAGAATGTTTAACAGGGGATATTTTTGGGTCAGCAAGATGTGATTGTGGCAACCAGTTGGACTTGGCAATGCAGTTAATCGAGCAAGCTGGTAGAGGAGTCGTGGTTTACCTTCGAGGTCACGAAGGCAGAGGGATTGGCCTTGGTCATAAACTAAGGGCCTATAATTTGCAAGATCAGGGCCATGACACAGTTCAAGCCAACATTGAACTAGGTTTAGCTGTTGATGCTCGTGAATATGGTATTGGTGCACAGGTCAGTCAGCTAAATTCCTCTCTCCCCCCTTCCTCCTCAATTAACAATAGAAGAATCGGTTTTCAACGGTGTATAGACAGCAGAATGGATCAGAAAGCCACCATTTTTCCTCGGCCTCCATAACCTTCCATGTTGAAATAATTTTCAGCATCATTCCATTTTTATAATGTTCCTATTGGTACTTCATCCTATTTGACTTCATTTGTAATTCATAAACAACAATGTTTAACTACTTCAACTTTGATGACAACAGATTCTGAGAGACATAGGCGTTCAAACCATGCGCCTGATGACTAACAACCCAGCCAAGTTCACTGGTCTGAAGGGTTATGGCTTGGCTGTTATTGGGAGAGTGCCTGTCTTGACACCCGTTACAGAGGAAAACAAAAGGTACTTGGAAACAAAACGTACTAAGATGGGTCATATTTATGGTTCTGATCTCCAAGGACCATTAGCTGGATTCATGAAACCAACTGTAAATAAGAAAGAATCATCGGATGGGGAGCCGCCGGCAGACTGATAACTCCAAGCAATTCACTTCAAACACATGATTATAGACAGAATTTTTCAAAGCCAATGGATAGAGCAGTTTTGTTGTTATGCTTACACATGGAATTTGACCGAGGTTGGCGATTGATAACAATTGAAACTGACCTGCTTCAGCAGATGTTCGTTTATTATATGGATTTTCTTTTTATCACCCTTAGATTGCAGAATTTTTTATGTTTTCATCAAATCTCTGATTCATTTTAATAATAAAAACCAGAAATTTTAAATCCTAATCATTTTAATTCAAAATAAATTCATGTTTCCTTAAATAAATTAATTAAAATTTACTTAAAAATTAATAATTAAAATTTATTAGAATATGATTTGTGTAAAGAAAGTAGAGAACAATAAAAAGAAAAATATTCATAATAAATGGGCCTGGATCCTAATCCGGCCCATAACAACTGAACCGAGGCCTGTTATTTTAGTCGTTCATTTGGATAAGTGGGCCCTTAGTCAGAGCCCATTGGACATTAAAGTAATTTCGAAAACCCTATCTATATAAACCCTAATTTCCTCTTCATCTCTTCTCAGCAAAGCCTAGAACGGCTCATCAGCTTCTCCATCGACAGGTCTGCTTTTGTCTCTTCATCGCCCTCATTTCTCACTCACGCTTTCTATCTCTCTCTTCTTCTTCGAAGTAATTTCGGTTTTTAAAAAGATTTTAACCTTATTTTTGTAATCCTTGTTTTTTTAGGTTTAGGGTTTAGAAGGTTTTAGAGGCAGCGGCAAGCAATGGCTCCAAAAGGTATTTGGATTTGGATAAGTTTTAACTGATTTTGAATAACTTTTCTTTCACTCCTTTTTTATTTGTAATGCTTGTTCTAGTTTTGTTTTGTTTATTTGATCTCTGTTTGGTTGTTGATAGATGCAATGCGCATATGGGTTTTCTTCTTTACTGTTTTGCTTTAAAGGAAAATCGAATGATCTTAGAATTTTACTTTATTTGTGCTGTTTACAGATTGTTGTCCTTGTATTGCTTTTTGAAACTTTCTGCTACTGTCAACTCTAGTTTTGTTTTCTTTTTTTCTTTTATCTTTAAATCTTGTCTGTTGTTGGATTTATTAGGAGATATACAATTACTAGATTACTTGTGGCTTTTTACATGACTGTTCATTTCATAGCTTTGGAAATTTGGATTTTGGATTGGAATTTTTCGCCATATTTGATTTAGTTGTTTCATTGGAAGTGCTATGAACTTGGTGATTCTCAGGCTTAAAGTTTATATTCTTGTCTTAGTTGTTGTATAGTTTGTAGGATTGTATCTTTGGGTTATTATGGTTTATTGTTTGTATTTTTAGTTTGCTCAGCTCTGTATGAATGTGGTCGGATTGGACATGTACCTGTTGCCTCCTTTGAATATGTCATTAGAGGAGGTTAATTGGAATTTATTTAAGTGGTTTCTGTAGGATATGGTTTTTGCAATGGCATTGGAATGTCATGGCTTAAGTTTCTGTCAGAATAAAACCTATTATAATGATGGTATTTGTGGCTTCTTATCACTAATTATATTGATTGTTGTATTTTATGTAGTTGAGAAGAAGGCAGATCCTAAGGCACAAGCCTTGAAGGCTGCCAAAGCAGTGAAATCAGGAGCTACCTTTAAGAAAAAGGTCAAGAAGATCCGAACAAAGGTTACATTCCACCGGCCAAAGACCTTGAAGAAGGATAGGAACCCTAAGTATCCACGCATTAGTGCTCCACCAAGGAACAAGCTTGACCATTATCAGATTCTCAAGTTTCCCCTCACAACTGAGTCAGCTATGAAGAAGATTGAAGACAACAACACTTTGGTTTTCATTGTTGACATTCGTGCAGACAAGAAGAAGATAAAGGATGCTGTCAAGAAGATGTATGATATTCAGGCCAAGAAAGTGAACACCTTGATCAGGTAAAACTTTATTCATGCATTTTTAACTATTATTATGTCCATGAGCTGGTTTCTATTTACGTTAGCTTTTATTTTATAGCTCAGGATGTTCTATCTTTGATTTAAACATTTCTGCATAAGTTTGCGTAGACTAGGTTTTTACACATTCATTGGACAACTCATTTGTTATTAAAAAGCTTCATGTGAGGAGCTTCGAAAGAATGATACATTAGTTAGTCATGTTACTGGATGTCTAATTATTTATTCCTCTTCCACATGTCTTGAGACCATATTTGATGTTTCACTTGCATCAAAATAACAATGTTTTTGAATTTTCTACATCAGTATATGTGGTTGCTTATTGTTGTATTTTTCAATTGTGTTTTCTTGATGACCCATTCATTTCATCTCTTTATATTCCTCACTCCTACCCTTCTTATATGGTTACAATGGTATCCGGACATTCATCTTAATTGATATGTTTCTCGTGATCCAGGCCTGATGGTACAAAGAAGGCATACGTTAGGTTGACACCCGATTATGACGCCTTGGACGTGGCAAACAAAATTGGAATTATCTAAGCTAGTTGGTCGCTGCGTTGTTTTGAGCATTTGTTTTTTGTTTTGTTTCAAAGAATGGGACAGTTGTATTGAGACTTTGAGCCAGGAAGATTTAATTTTATCATTTAACGTTGTAATCTTGCGTTACCTCCAGTTAATCTTCTGCGGTTTATCTTGAGACATAAGTTTTTTTTTATTTACCTGTATTCAGGTTTGTTTTTGAGGTTCCATTCACAAAAAATGAGTTTTGGAAAATAATTTTTGGAAAATGTTTATATTTTCTAAATAGAAAGAGATTATCTGTTGATCGGATGATTTAATAAAAAATATTTTTTGTTCGTTTGATTATTTTTGGAAATTTTTGTTTTTTTTTTTCAGATAATATTAAATAATTATTAAAATATTAAAAGTTATTTGTCATTAAAATATATTATTATTATTAAAATTATTAATATTAAAATATTATGTGAATATAAAAAATACTTAAAATAAAATTATTTATTATTCTTTATATTATTAATATATTATAATACTATTTATTAATAATAGTTATTAATATAGTATATTAATAGTACATTATTTATTAATAATATATTATTTATTCATATATTATTATAATATTTTATTAATTAAATTAATAATATTTATTAGTATATTATTTATTAATATATTATAATATTAATTTATTAATATTAATATATTAGTATATATTTATTTGTAATATTATTTATGAATATATTATAATATTTTTATTTATTCATATAATATTATTTATAAATAAAATTATGATTAAAAATATTAATAAATAATTATACTCGTATTCGAAAAAAAAACTTTTAAAAATTTATAAGAAAATTTTTAAAAAAATAATTTTGTTTTTCATTGATCAATAAATTATTTTTCATTGATTAACTAATTTTTTATCAAGTAAACATTTGGAAATGCGAAAATAATTTTTTGAAAGTTATTTTCGTGAATCAAACGGAGCCTAAATGTTGCAATTGCCTAAAAACTGATCTCTTTGGGAGCTGGTGATGGGTAATGGCCCTTTGTACTTGTTTTGAAATTTATTCCCCAGCAGTAATCTATGCAAAAGCACTGCAATAGATATGATCCTAGTACCGGCGCTTCCATCGCTGCCTCATCTGTATTCTGGTGTGATTGGTAAGGTTTCAAATAATGGAGTCATAGTGAAGGTGTTATGGTTGCAACGACACCAATAAGAAAACATTTAGGGCAGATTCTTTTTGAAACAAGTTTCTTTTTCAGGGTGTTGGTCTAGAAGGTCATACAGAACCTTTTACGTTTTGCCTTCTAATGCAAACTCGAAGGACAAACGTTTGCATGATATTTTGTGGCAACTTTTCCAACAGTGGACTGCGATTACTTTGATGACAAGAGCTCTGCATCTTAGAAACAAGTCGAGTACCGAACAAATGAACGTTGGGCACCGAAAAAGAGGGTTCTAAAGTCAGATCTTTCACATATATATCTGACCTGGGTTCGATCCCCGGCTGGTGCAACATTCTTATAATCGGTTAGCACTTAGAAGGTCCATGTTGAATTTTTTATGTTTTATACTTCGATTGCACAGAATCTGCATCGTACATACGGACTTGCCACAAAAATTCAAGACGGTCAACAGCAACCACACTTGTGTTTGTATTGCTACAAAAATTCAACATAGTTTTCGCAAGAAAAGGAGAGGCTTAAAGGTTTTACATATTTTGCTGTCAACTCATCCCCTTAAGTTGATTCATTGCATCTCTGGCAGCTTAAATTGACCCTGGGTGGGAGAATTTCTTGATTCCATGCCAAAATATATTACTTATTTTCTTTCTTATAAATTATAACCCATGAAAGTCAAATTCGAATTCTAAATCATTGGTGCAACTCTGATGATCTTTACCAGGTAAGCTTTCTGATAGCTTCTACCATGTGTTTTTGTCTACTCAAAATTTTTATAGACCCACCTTTTTTTCATATCTAAGTGCTGAATTTCTTAGGACCTCAGAACGTAGCATTTGGGTAATGTGCTGACCTTTCTTGCAAAAAACTTCTCTCCTTAAGGTCTCCAATATTGTGAACATAGACACACAACATTCTGGCCGTACTGTTATATCAGAAACACTTGACCTGCAAAGCCGGCTGCTTGAGTGTAACTGAAACCAAGTGTCAATGCAAGAAACGTGGAAAGCATGTGTGCAATTTGATAGATGTCTTAGCTATCTCCTTCAAGCTCACCCAAGCAACCAGTGAGCAACAACCGTGGTGCTTCTTTGTTTTCCTTCTTGAATTGGGAGATTAGAAGAGAGTGTATAACAGTAGATTCCAGTGCATTGCTCTGGTTTTATGAAAAAAGATAATCAAATTTGCCGTCATCTAGAAGTCGGCTTTGAATAAAAGGGCTTTGAATGAAGCTAACTTGAAGAATTTATTGGGGCTATCCTGGAAACCTGCTTGAGAAAGCCTCTAGGAAAACAAAGCCTTTTTGTATATACTTCTAACCACTGAGTAAAGCCTAGAAGTAAAGCTTGAAGATTATCAAATTTGCTGTCATCTAGAAGTAAAGCCTTCTTGTATATACTTCTGACTACTGAGTCTAGATACGTCTAGATGCGCAAGGTGGAAAATTGACCTTTTTTGCTGCAATGGAAGTCTGAAAGGGTTAATGGTAGAAGTAAAGGCGTCTACATTACTCCGCCTAACAATCAGAATCTTCAGCCACCATCCGGAGACAAGGTGCTTCAATAAATCACCTTCCATTCTAACCTCTTTAATTTTCAGCAACGATTAGTCTCTTCTTCAATGAGACCACAATTTTCCATCACCTTACTTTGTTTCATTTGTGGCCTTTAGTTAACTCATGAACATCTTGAGGTCAAGCGAGACTCCATTTCCCCTTGACATATTTATCATCCAAGTTCAGTAGCTCTTCCATTTTTTTATCAGTCGAGTAGTTAACTCATGAACATCTTGAGGTCAAGGAAGATGATCCCAATGCTAAATATTCTCTCCTAAATGAATTTGCACCTTTCATACTGGCAAAACTTCTCCTTTTTAGCCTGGTTTTCACCATTTCATGGATCAATCCATAATAGTTTAGTTGAGCTAAGCTCTGGGATGGGGTGAAGGAACTTTAACATAGCATTTAGAAATTCAACTATCCAATTAATGCTTGTATCATGTGGCGGCAAAAGATGTTTTCAAGAAAGACTAGGCCTACGGAAAGATGGAAAGCAAGAAACCAATTCAATTTTATTTTAATTCGAAAGAAAATTGGTATAAGAGGTATATGTGGAAAGAAAAAAAATCCTTTTATATCATTTTTCACGTTTTGATGCAACAAAAGGGGGAGGAAATGAACAAGAAATTCAAAATCAGGATATACAAGAATAATCCAAAAGTTAAAAGTGTTGAACAGCTATGCTATATCATTCAATTAAAACCCCCGAAAAGCGTATAAAATTTAATTACACCACCACCCCTTCACATATAATCTTTACAAAACTGAAGCAAAGCTTCTTTCAACTCATAGAAACCTTTGGCGCTTTCCTGCTGTGATTTGAGTGTTAACACCAGCACCTGAACTCAACAGCTTTGAGTTGCTCAGCCCTGGAGCAGAAGCAGAACTTGCAAAATTCAACATAGCTGCTGAACACATTTGATGAGAGCCACAAGACATCTCAGGGTATGATGATGATGAGTTCAATAGTTTTTGAACAATGGTCCTATTTGTTTTGGCAGCTAGTTTTTGGTTAGCAGTTTTAGAATCACAACCTTTGATTAAAACAGGAGGGACTTTGAAATGCAAAGGAGGAGGATTTCTCCATCGAGGAAGGGGCCCAGCAACAAGAAGTGTCTGAAGAAGAGGACCTGCTTCCATAACAGCTTGCAAAAGCTTTCCTTTCTGAGGCAAAGTTTTCCCTTTTGCAAGGTTATCAATCACAGTTGTAGCAGGATCAATGTTGGTCACCCCCGAGGAGACCAATCCAATTGACACAGAACCATTATACTCTTGAACAAAGGGCTGATTCACAAACCCCGTGCTACCTGAATCAGCCATTTTAATGCTTGAAAAATCAGGTGAAGTGACTGCATCAAAGAAGGAATCTACTGGGGAAGAGCCATGTGACTGCCGGTGGTTATATGTATCTGATAAACTGTTAGATTCAGTTATGCTTGAGTTTGCTTTTGCTGCAATCATAGGGGGACTTTCAGATTGGGGATGAGGGAGGATTGGTTGCAGTTCAGTTGGACCCGAAGGCATTAACTTGTTAAGTAGTTTTCGCAACTGATCTCTTGCTTCATCTCTTTGTTGGTATGCAAGCTTTAGGAGATTGAGCAAACACTTTATCTCCTCCCTGTATTTCCTTATTTGCTCATTGGCTTCCATTTTGACAGACTCTAGCTCAATTGTAGTGTATTGAAGCTTCAATTCCAGTTCATCAAAACCCTGTTAATTCAGAAAAGGAGGGTTACTTTCAGACTTCATCAAATACAAAGAGGAAAATGAAAAAATCTGTTACTCGCTTACAGGCATACATCATGCAATATCTTCACACATGAAAATCGTTTAAAGACAACATAACAAAGAAGGAAAAGATAAAAAGAGTAAATTGAATCATTTATTGTTGCAGCAAATTTGCTTGTACCAAACCCTGTAGCTTCAGTGGGGACATGTAGACCAAAACTAGTCTTTTAAAAAAATCATTGTAGTAGATATGTACCAAGAGACAAACATAAAGCAGATAAGCCCAGTGGATGAACAACCAGTTCAAAGTTGGGAGAAACAGTGTTATCTCTGCTTTACCCGTGTGGATCCCAAAGTCTTTCAGTCAAACCAGGATTCATTTCGAATAATGCGCCATTAAACCCTTCAAAAACATGAAACCCCATAAAAGAAAAAGACATTGGACCCCATTTCCTGATGCCATGAAATATCTCTAGTTTCCACCAAAACCGACTAGTGGTAACTCAAAATTTCTATTAATGCATGTTTTGCTCATACCAGGACAGAACAAATACACATTTTACCCAAAAAAAAAAAATGCGCCACATACAATTTGCTGATAGAAAATTTCTAGCCTAAAGTAATGAAGCTAATTCTCCAATATGACATTTATTGAAGCAAAAATCCATTTTCACCCCAACAAAAAAGATGACGAAAAAACTTATGTACCATATACAACAATACCACTGTTTAAAAATTTTTTTGATTGTGGTAATGTTTTCTAATATAAATAAGAAAATATGAAAGAAATGAACTAAGATGATACCATTGAATGGAACAAAAACTGATAAAAACGAACACCAATATAGCTAAAAAGGGGAAAAAAAGACAGAAAGAAGTGAACTTGAAGTGCCAAAACTAAACAAGACCCAGAAAAGGTGAAGTGAAGAAAGAAAAGCAGTGAGACAAACAGAAAAGAGAAAATAAAAAAAAAACCCACCTCTTGGTAATTCCACAAGGAACCCAACTCTTCCATTTTCTGGGGTCCTATAGCGAGAAAAAACAGTGAATGCAAAGAGAGAAAAAAAAATGGAAAAACCAAAAATGCTGAAAGAGGGACTTAACAAAATGTCTATATTATAGACCAATCAAAGGCAAATAAAGAAGAGATGGCTGTTCTTTTCTCTCTCTTTCTTCCTTACACCATGGTAAAGAACAAGAAGTCCACATCAAAGGAAATGAAAGATATTAAGAAAGCTCTAAACTTTTCAATCTTATATCTTATATAAATATATATAAAAAAAATTTTTAATATAAATAAAATTTAAAAATCATCTTATATTCTCTAATAAATATATTTTATTTATTTAAAATATTTGTATTATCTTTTATAGTAACATTTTTATAATTTAAAAAATAATTAATTAGACTAAATTATTGCATTTATTACATTTTAAATATTCAATATTTTATATAAGTTACAATTAGTTTAATCAATAATACAAATAAAAAAGAAACTAAATAAAAGCAGTTACTTATGAATATATTTTCATATCTTATTATAAATTAAATGAAATTTAATATAATAAATAAGGAAAAAGAAATAAGTCATTAATGAGTTAATAATAATGAAATCATTAAATTAGGAAAAAAATATTTTTTTAAAAAAGATAACATATTAGATAAGAATTCAGAATTTATAATTTTGAATGTAAATTTCATTAATTTTATGTCTTTACTTATTACATTATATGGTTAATAATAGTAAAATTTTAATATATTTATGATTATATTTCTTGATAGCAATATAAATATAAATGTTCTTTCAAAAAAAAAATAAGCAAATCAAATTAGACTATTCTCTAACTTTATTTCATTGTAATTTTATTTCTATTATCTTATAAGAAATTTATTTTTTAGTCTTATTTGCTATTCTTTTGTAAATTTATTGAGGCTTTACTCTTCTTTTTTTTTTTTTTTGCAATTGTTAAATTTTATTTTTAGAATAGAAAAATTTTGTAAAATTTATCTCTTATTTTATTTAACATGTCCTTAAATTTTGGAAATACTAAAACTATAATTGAAACTCTTATACTCAAATTTTTATATTTTTCTATATTTCTTTTTTAGATAAATATTCTTGACTCAATTTCTCTTTGGATAGATAGATATTTTAAAAGGTGATATTGATATACCACCAATTCATAAAAAAAAAAAAAAAAAACGCACAATAATTTTTTTAGAATAGCAATTTTATGAACATATATATTTTAGTATTTTTTTAATCTATAATTTAAAGGCAAATTGTGATATTTTCTTTATACATATATAAATGTTGAATGTAATGTTATTAAAGAATTCTTTTCTTTTGCAAGATATTAATTAGCAGAGGTTTAAAATTTTATCTTATTTTAAGAGGTTTTTTGATAAGATTATATTGATTTATAAGATTTTACAATCAAATGCAAAAAATGATTAATTAATTTGAAGATTGGGAGCCAAATCATAAGAATTTTGATATATTGTATTGTTAGCTGAATCAACCTAAGACAATATAGTTGATTAAGATTTGACTAAATAAGTCTTAATTTCAATTGAAGATGAAAAAATTATTTTTTAAATTGTCGGTGAATGAAATTTTAATTGATGTAAGGGGTATTAGTTTATAACTTTTAAAAATCTTTTAAATAGAACAAATTCTTCAAATTTGTAAAATTTACCACTTATTTCATTGAACAAATCCCAAAATATTTGTCATATATTGACTTTCACATAATTTAAAAAAGATTTTTTGACTTTAATATATTCAATATTAAAATTTAAAAATTTTTTATAAAATTAAAATTTTATGATTTTTAATGTCAAAAAGTTAAAAAAAAAAATGATAAAATATAATTTGAAAATATAAAAAGTAAAATTTTTTTATGTTAAAAAAAAACCATAATTTTGGAATATCCCAAACAAGAAAATGGATAAAGAAAATAAGACAAATGAAGTAATTGTTTTTTGTGAAACTTCAATATAAGTTATTGAATGTTTATTTTGATATTTTAATTTTAATTTTATTCTATTTTTAAGTGTTTAAAGTTTATGTTATGTTTAAAGTAATTATTATATTTTATTTTGTTATTTCGAAATTACATAATTATGAATATATAAATTTGAGTTACTTACATAAGTATTACACGTCCATTGCACGAGTTTAAATCTAATTAAAAAAATTTTCCTTTTTTTTTCTATTTAACTCGCCCCATTCTTTCCGTACTCTTGTCTCTTTTTTAAATCAAAATTCCCTCTTTTCCCTTTTTTTCTTATAGTTTTTTGTGAATATTATTTTTTTATTTAATTTGTTTTTGTCTTAATTATATCTTAATGGTGACTTAAAATCTAGTAAGATTTTCCTTATGTATAGCATTTTATACATGTGAATAAGTCAATAAAGAGCTGTTTCTATTTTTTAATCATTTTAATTTTCTACTTCACGTGATTTTGTCTTTGTTTCATGAAAGTAATACGTGATCGACACTATTGATTTTTTTTTCTTTTTTGTTATTTTTTTAAATTTTAATTTTTTTTATCATGTAATCTCGATCTATTTAATTCATTTGACAAATACATGACTATTTAAAAAACCCACAACTTTATCATATGAGCTAATATCCAATTGACTCTTGTTATTTTGTTTTTTTAACCTATGGTAAATGATGTTTTATAGCTTCCATTAATTAAAAGATAACTTTGATTTTAATACTTTTAAATGCTTAGATTGTATATACTCTAATTTTTAAACAATTTTTGGCTTAAGGGAGGGAATTTTAAAATAAAATAAAATATTTAATTTACCCTTTTTTAATGCTTCAAAACTATGATACATAAATATTATTTTATGTTGAATTTGATGATTTTTCATTTCGGGTATATTATTTTTTTAAGATTGTTACTAATTTTCAAATCCGGCAAATGACACTTAAAGTTTTCTTAACAATAATATGTTTAATGTTTGCACATTGAAATTAGTTCAATCATAGGATATCTTTTTATTGTAAAAAGGATTAATTTCTTATATGATTTTAACTATTTTCATGCATAAAATATTTCATCTATGTTTAACAAAAATGAATTTACGTGGCAAAAAATTTATGAAATATTTCATCTATGTTTAACGACAACCAGAATCGAAACAATTACAACTCAAATGAATTTATGTAACAAAAAATATCATCTAAGCCATGAAAACAAATGGAATTGGCTTCATATTTTCTAGCTAAGGTCATCGAGAAATTAATTTGACACCTTAACATTACCCTTAATTTTAAAACAAAATAACTTTTTACCTTTTTAGGTCATCAGTGACAATAATGAGTAAGTAAACATGCTTATTTTGCTCTTATTTTTATTTTCTTTTTAATTTTATACATGCAAAAGTTCATTGAATTAGTTATAAATTAATGAGTTTTTATAAAAAAAATTATAAATAATAAAATTTGAATTTAGACCTACTAAAGTTCATTTTATAAATGAGAAATTCATCATAAATTTATGAATTAAAATTAATGGTAGAAATTTTTTAGTGGTAAGAGTAATCAATTAATTTTGAATTCCATTGCCACACGGCACAAATCTTTACGTAACAATAAAAATTCATGAAAAACCAAATCCTAAATTTTGTATACATTCTTTTTTATTTTATTTAAGAACAAATCCATTAAAACCCTGTTCATGGATGAGGAATTATGTTAGAAGAAAACCACAAGTTCTTTCTTTATTCCCAGCAATCGGTTTTCGCACTCTTTCACATGCCATCTTAATAGTATATTTGTAGTATGGGTTAATTTTTTGAATTGTTTTTAAATTATAATGAAATATTTAATATAATATTTGAATTTAAAATTTTTTAATGTGATATAAAAATTATAAATTTATTAATTAATATGTTTAATTTCAAATAATGATATATAATAAATAAATAATTTTTTAAATATTATATTAATTAATAAATTTATAAATCATGTATTATATTAAAAAAATTTTAAATTTAAATATTCAAATCAATCTTAATAATATCTCATAATAAAAAAACTCTTTGCGGGAAAAAAACCATCGTACCCCCGTACCACTAGCCATTACAGTATTAGATCCCTTAATAATGATGCCACATTTTTTATTAATCATGTCACTGTTCCTTAAGCCCTTTTCGAGAAATGATCTAACCTATTATCAATGAAATTTTTGGATTCCATAAACATAATTAATTGTATAACACATATGTATATTAAAAGATTAACTAAAAAAATAAAATATGTGATAATCTTTTAATTTTATTTATAAAATAAAAAATTTATTTGATTAATATATAAAAATAAGTTTTATTCCTTAATCCAACTGCTAATCTCAAAGAAATGCACTTGAACTTTGTACAATTGGGTAATGATAAGAATAATAGAGAGCTTTTCATAAATTTATTAGTAATTTTTATAAATGAAACCATAATCTAAAAAAAAAATTACA